CAAAATATTTCTTATGGAATATTCTAAGGGTTCCAATAGAAATATCCAATGCAATTTTCTAGTATCTATTTTTTCTATGGAATTTTTTTAGTATTAGTGTCTTCACTAAAGTGAAAAAAAATTCACGCAATTCTCTCAGGCTTAACCAGAAAGAAAATAATAATTAAACAATCTCAATGCTCTTCTTCGATATGAGTGGCTCTGCCCTCTCGCCCTCTTCCTCACTCGTGACTGACTTGGGGGAGTTCTGGACGGGATTCTGAGCGTAGAGAATAACCGCATAACTGACCATTCCAATAGCCAGCCCAGTATTCAAATAAATGGGAATGCCAAAGAGCAACCAGCACAAGACAGCTGTAAATACGAGCTCCAAGGCACTGGCAAAAGTCTTGAGGATTGAGTTCAAGTTCTTCAGGAAGAAGCTCGTGATTATTCCTACTGCTGCGTTGTTGGCTATTATAACTAGGACTTTGGGGTCAAAGAGAATACTGGGGCCAACGTTCTCGAATGCCCCGAGGAGATCTCCTTGGAGAATTAACACGAGGATATTACAGATTATGCTATCGATGTACATGAAGACGTTCTGCACGTAGATGTTGATGTTGGCGCCTTGGCCTTTCAGAAGGTACTCGTTGTAGACACCAGCTAGGCAAGAGCAGATTGTCTAAAAGATAAATAAAGGATTTTATTCACAAAATCGCCGGAATTGAAATAAACAGTTGGTAGCTACTTTACGTGTAATTTAATCTAATCAGTTTAATGTTAATGAAAAAACATGAATACTAAACTTTTTTTTTACAATTCGGATTATTTGAATTATAAAAAATTGAACCAAATTTCAAATTTAGGTAAACATGAAAAGCATGACATCTGTGATTCATGAATGATTATCATTTTTAAATTTAAGTTTCTTTAATTTGAGGTCAATTCTAAGGGATGGAAATGGTGATCATATCGATACTTTGAAACTAAAGTAGAATGAGTAGAGTGATTATAATTTCGAAATTCTTTTTTCTTTTGCTCACTCAACATGAAACTCACCTGGATGAATATGAAAAGCGCGTTGATGTTAACATGAAAATTTGATACCGCTGTATTTCCAGAGCTGAAATTCACTTGCTTCATCATGCAGCCCAGAGTCAAGATTATTAATGATAACCATTGTTTATTCGACAGCTGTTTTTTAAAAACTACCTGAAACCCAAAGATAATCTCTCTTTAAAAAATGAGCAAAAGAATCAGCAAATCCATATGAATATGGTGGTAAAAAAATGATTGAGGCTCATTAATATTTATAAACAATAGAATTTAATGATGATAATCGATTAATTACCTCAGTTTTGTTTTGTATTTATATTTTCAATTATTGGTTTGTTTGCTAAAGAGGCATCTGAATGATTGGAGAATTTAAGTGGATTAACAATTACCTGGAAAATAATTCCAGTTATTACTACCCTGAACTGCAGGAGGAGGTAGTATGTCGTGGGATCAAACGCAGCTAGATTTATAAACGCTAGGTTATTGTAGAGACAGTAGAGGAATGATGGGACCATGTACAGCATAAACACCTGCCTGTGTTTGATTATTTCGAGGAAGAGAGACGAGATATCATTACTGAAACCACAAAAACATGATTTAAAAAAATATCTTATCCAATTCACCTCCAACAGGAGAAATGTCTCGATAATTATTTTTACAAAGATGAACTGCCTAGAAAATAGGACAAATTTAAACGAGCAGAAATTAATGAAAAAACCTGACACTTTCTCTAGGAAATTCCCCATAACATACAATAAAATATGATTTTGAGTTTTCTCTGAAAATCAATCCTACATTTTGGGAGTTTTAGAATTTATATTTTTTTTATTCGTCATAACTAAAAAACTATTAGAGAGAATTTTCACAGAAAAAATCAGAATGATTTATTTATGACACAAATTAAAAAGTCAACGTTTGTAAATAATACTCTGCAAATAAGTGTCGATTTAAAATTCCTACAGAGAAAGCTCAGGGCTTTTTATTGATGTTTGTCTTACGTAATAGTTCCTCGCAGTTTCATTACTCCACGAGTTTAGAAGTAATTACAAGCAATACTCACTTCCAGCAATATAATATCATAGATACTATCAATTTGAGCACTTCAGTCATCAGCACGACAGTCACAATATTGTATTTGTAATCTCCTTTGCTCTGCGACAATGTTACAAATATTCCTGCAGTAAACAACTTTATTACCACTTAAATAATTAAAAAACAATATAAATTATAGTAATAATTATCTCCGACAAGTAATAAAACAACTAATGGCGCGAGAATAATAAAGACAATGCAGATAATCACTATTTTTTTTAATGTTTAATTTCTGTTACAGTTAATGAGCAAAAACTGAATGGGGAGTTTAATGTTTTTCTACTAAGTTATTAGTGAAAACTTATTCATTAGGTGCATAATTTTTTGTTTACCTTGATTTATGAAGAGGCCCATGTAGGATATGAATATAACCGCACTCCATCGCCCTGGGAATAATTCTCCCCAGCTGACGTTTCCCATTTTCTCCAGTCATACGACATTTATCAGAGAAAATCCAGAGTCTCTTCCAAATGGAAAATAATTAATGAATCTTCTGATACCCGGAAAACTCAATGAATTTTGCAGGGCACTGAACACCGGACTGTCACCAGTTGTAAATAATCATTGAGAGCTAGTGCGCATGTGCAGGTACACGAATACAAATCGGCCCTACAAATTATTGGAAATAGACCTCATGGTCAACTGGAATAGGTAATTGGAAATTATGTCACAAACTTGATACTCGACACGCGATTATCCGTGCATTAATAATTTATCAATTTAAAAAATATTTCGAAAGTTTCAAGACGTTTACCATTTTTCACTATCTACTCTAACGTGAATTCAAGATTAACTCTCCATTCTGCCCAAATATCTTCAAAACTAATGGAGATAGTAAAAAATGTTGTATGACCTTTTTTGTAGTCTTTTAGATTTCCGACAAAAAAGTCCCCAGGAGTTTTTCACTGTATCTGCTAGATTTTCAGATATTCACGAGAAAACTCCGGAGTTATTTTAGTTACGCCTGTGCAAAGTCACTCCACGTTGAAATCGGTCTTTGAAGATATCTGGGAAGCTGAAGGAACGAAAAGAAATACTGGTAACTATTTAGTAGATTCAAGCCAGGGATTATTCGCCCCAGCCCACGTCGCATTGACCGCGAAACTCGCGTTTATGATCAGCCATTATCTAAATGTGTTTTGCGGATTTATAGGATATTTGTGCGAACTCTGGGATAGTGGTGCAGATTCTTCAGCGCCCGAGAAGACCACTATCATGGTTATCTATGTGACTAGTTATTTAAACGGAGCAGCGACTTTCATAATACGAGGAGCGAATTCCTTTCAATCATCAAGAGATATCACCCACCTCACTAATAGAGTGTCGACACGGGCAGAGATTTGAGACTGATTGGTGCCGTCGCTCAGTTCTCAATTCTCACAAAAATGTTATATTAATTTCTGATTATCAATTGCCGTTGAGGGACGGCTGAGCAAATGTAGAGTTTGAGGATAGAGCAGCTCTCTGTCAGTCGCATGCTTTTCCCGGGCATACATTCACTCATATTTGTGTGGTCTATTGTCTCTGAGTGTATCAGCATGTGTTATCATAAGGCCAGATACACCGCCACGTGCAAGTTGTTGGTTCTGGATGACGCAAAGAGCGGCGAAGTTAGGGTATTTAACTGCTCCATTTAAATCTATACACATACACGAAGGTAAATGAAGGTAGGATAGACAAAATAGAAATTCGTGGAAAAATCTCGAACTGTGTGAGAACTAAAGGACTGGTGTAAATCTACTAAATAATTACCGAAATTGTTGCTGAACCTTTTTTGTAGCCGGTGAAATTTTTTATAAAAAAGACCCTTATAAGATTCCTCCATCATGCACGGATATCCGGCTATTCGGTTATCGAAAATTAAAATTCACTTCAGATGTTCCTTTCCGTAGACTATTGATTTATTCCTCTATCGATTATTCCGTTATTGCTTATGGCATGAATATTTAGTTTTTCCAATAATTGACATATTTCAATAATTCACGAACAACTTCACTTAATTAATTTCAAGTAACAAATGAAGTGATTGAGGAATACTGCAAGAATAAAGAGAAAACAGAATTGTTTACAATTTTTATCCTGCATTTTATTAATTCATACCTCCCATTGTGAAAATTTTGAAATAAAAAAGACTGTAGCAGTGGAATGTCACGCCCAGCTGTAAGATAAGAAATGATAGTACAATTATTCCCTGATAATGGACAATTTACTGAGAATACGATATAATTTCTATTCACATCCCTCTGGACGAAAAAACAAACGAGAAAAACAGATCACCAAAACCAGATTCATGAATTTGTGAAATATATGAATTTCTGCTGAATAAAAGGGTAAAAAGAGTGGAAGAGTAAGGAAATAATCACTTCCTGGAAATATTTCGAGTGTTATCTACATCCGCTTCAATATGCTCTCTTTTATTTATATTAGGCTATAATTCATCTACTATTATACAGTTATATAATTTTTTTATTTCGTTATATACATAGTCAAGGATTGAAGAAGATTCACTTTATATTCAATGTCTATTCAGTCATAATCAATCATGAAAAGAAAAGAAAACACATCAATTAACTAATTCTTCAGCAGTCGAATTTGATTCACATTTTATTCTGCAATTGCCCTTTTTTTTCATTACTTACTTTTATTAGTGTGGAGTCAATTCCTCATAAAATGAATCTTCTTGAGGGGTTAATTGTAACAGTATGCCTTTCCTCATTAGTCGCTGTATCTCATTAATGAGAATCCAAAGATAACAATGATTTCTCGTGGTTTTATAAATAATTACTTTAGTATATCTTACACTGTGACTTGAATATAAAATTTATCAATAGCAAACAAGGGGCGATCGCCTCAACTACGTCTTTATGTACCTCTTCCCCTAATTAATGATTAGCATTGTCCCTCATATTCTCCAGGAATCTACCATCAAGCCTCTCCTAGAGTCTAGGAGAGGACCTAGACTATCGAAATCTCCGAGCATTTTCATCGTTCTCTTGTCAATAATTTGGTAAATTTGGGGGTTGGAAGCACAAAAGTGAAAAAATAAGAGTACAATGTGGTTTTTATACTTTCAGAGGTGATTATTGATTCGATAATTATTTTTTAGGCGTGGAGTTAATGAACTTTTGAAGTCGAGAATTGCTCGATTTTTCATTTAGTTTTAATTGCAAAAAGTGAAATAAACTGTATCCTCCTACCTATCCACAGACCAAGTGATCGAAATGAAAATCCAGTACGTCCCAAAATCACTTTGATTTATTAGTTAATGGCACTTGATTGCAATAAATGGACGTATAATACTTCACTCCGTTTATTGAAAAAATTCTTTCAGAATCCTCGTGAATCGAAAAGTGTAAGTACCCGGTGTAAACAATTCAAAAAAATTTTTAGTTACGATTTAAATCAAAAAAATCAATTGTCAAACCACTCACTTTAGTCAGAACTTTGCAATTGTTTAAGAATTTGCTGAGATATCATTTTAGTTGCTTCACTGGCATTTGGAATAAGAAATCTGTCCATGTCAGTGATTACTGGATTCTCGTTGTACTGGGTTGCACTACCGTACTTGAATGTAATCAAGTCTGGGTGACGCTTGCGGGACGTTATTTTGACGATTGTAGAGAGGGGACGTTTCACAATCACATGGGCAGCGTCTCGACGCCCTGGGATCTCTCGAAGAACTATTAGATGACTGTCGGTTACCAGAAGATGGCTAGAAATTTTTTTTAACAATTATGCCAGGAAGGTACATTTATATAGATTAAATGCAGAGCCGTATGCATTGGATAATTCAGCTTTCAATTTTTTCAAATTTACTGTTGATTTCTTATTGATTTATTATCCATTATTGTTATTATTACTATTATTATTTTCATTAATTTATGGAATCAAATTTCACATAGAATTCTTTGAACTTTGTATTTTTGGCAGGAATTTCTCCGAGTTAGTTACTAAACTCGATTTCCTTCATAAATAAAACAGAAAAGCAAATTTAAGAATTAATATGAATATCTAAAAAAATGACATTCATAAAATATTATTGAGGTTAACGAATTGTCTAGCGAATTCACTAGATTTTTTGATTTACTTCTAGATTATATGGTAAAAAATTATAATTTTTAATAAAATAATTACCTGTCATAAACATATCCATTAACCTTGACCTCCTGGCACTTGAAGGAATGTAGCAGCTGGGGATCCTTTAGCCACTGCTGGATGGAAACAACCTCGACAGGCTCCTCACTCTCCGGAGTGCTCATGACAACATCAGGATCGTGATCATCGTCTATACTGAATACTGGTGCAGTGTGCCTGGACCTCCTGGGCTCTGGGGGTTTCTTCTCAGTCGTCGTTTCACTCGCTGAAGTATTGACGATATAATCAAAGAGCTTTCCCTTGACCTCTCGGCTCTTCAGCTTCATTGCCAGTCCAATTTTTCCAAATAAATCTGAATTATTATTCTTGACCTTGACAGGACTGGCGTCATTAGAATTAGCCTCTGACAGATTTGCATTGCACACTAAGCAATGTTGGGAGTTGTGGTCCACCAGATTCGACACAACCTCATCCCCAAAATATTCGTGAATTGCTAGAAAATAAAAAATATCAATGCATTCGTTCTACATTCACCACGTGATTACAACAAATATAATTAATTACCTTGATAGCCATTAGCAACCATGCTGACATACTGCGTATGCTTTTGGAGGAAAGAAGCGACAACCATGTGAGTATACCTGTCCTCCTCTTGCCTGCCACTTCCCAGAAAGCAAAGATGTTCCCCTCCAGCACTGGATCCAACCGCAAGGGCCTGTCTCTGTGCCTGAAGAAGCCCCTGAACAGCAGTGGCAAAGGCCGCTGGCTCCTGCAGCATGAGATTGCAGTCCAGATGAAAAGCAGTGGGCAGATGTCCAGCATTGTATTGCTCAGCAGGTCTGCAGTCCACCAGAAAAAACCTGACAGATTCCACAGATCCTCCAGATGACATCGTAGCCTCCACCGAGTTTTCAACGAGCTCCTGTGCTGACACAGGGAGACACAGAGCATGGGAAATGAATTTCTCATCACCTCCCTCACCAAACATTATGGAGTACAAGTCCTGCTTAAACGAATTGGGGGTTTTCATGGCATAGTACTGGGCGAGGGAGCAGAAATCCGTGACATCCTCAGCTTCTAGGGCACATGGCATGGCCGAGAGGGTCTCCACAATGCTCTGCTTGTCCTCGTCCTTCATACTGAGAATTTGCTCTCTAGCATTTATCACCATTATCAGGGACAAAAACATCATGAAAAATGGATCAGCCTGCATGAAGTAGAGGTCCCACATTGTGCAAACAGCAGGTAGTGAGCAGATACCAGCGAATAGTGTGTTAACCCAACCTTTCGTGTATTGATCCGGTGAAACTCTCTTGGTGTCCAGGAAAGAGCACAATTCTGGCTCATGGTAAAGCAGGAGAAGTCTCAGAACTGCGCTGCTTGTCTCGCCTCGGGGTATGTAGACGTCTCTTATGGCCTCAAATAAGTTGTACGTGGCTGAACGAGGCAGCTTGAGAGCCACCAGTGGACCCAGCAGCTCCAGCCAGCCATTCCCTCTCTCATAGGTTTTCCCTCTGCTCTTGCAGTAGAATGTCAGGATTGACTCTAGGTCCGAGACGACTGATACCTTGTCCTCGTCATCGTTTCCAAGCTTTCCAACCAGCTGTTGGCAGTCCTCTCTGATGGTATTCTGCTCAGCAAGGTCAAATACCTCATTGAAGTGGATCAGCTGATTGCCTCTGTCGGTGACGTCCAGGCATGCCTGCCACACATCAGGTCGCAGGTTCCCCGGCACTGGCTGACCCTTGCATATTGCGTAGATATCTGAGGCTGAGGGTACCTCTGTATCTAATAGTGCTGCCTCCAACTCTAAAACCCTGGATAAATGCATTGTTATTTATTTATGAGGTCTAGCTTTTCATTTTGGCGGTTGTAGTCGTTTAAATTGTTAGGTAATTTCAAATATTTCTAGTTTTAGATTATTGAGATTCAATTGAATACAAAATTTATAAGAATTCTACTCAAACATTTCTTTTGCTTTTTCTGTCAATCCTATATTATTCACGAAAAATCGTTTGGTTGGGGATATTTTTCTGTTTTTCAAATTTTATTATGGTAAGTCCATATCAAATTCCGGAGAGGCACCGAAATGCTTGTATTTATCAGATCGAGGGCCAAAATAATTCGTAAGATATGGACGGAGACACTTGTATGTTAATTAGAGATTAGGAAGCCATTAGCGTCGAGTTGAGGTGTTAATGGAAATTCATAATTATTAGCTCAAGGGATTTCAAAGTTTTTCGTTTGTGGCTCGTGTGGAAAAATTAAACGTGACGCTCAAGTTGCTGTTAAAATCCCATTGATCCTGTGGATTATTATCCAATATTCGAAGGCAAAAACTCTAGATTTTCTCTTTTGATTATGAAGAACTCCTAAGAAAATATTTAAATCGAAAAATCTGAAGTCATTTTTCCCCATCAAATATTCACTAAAATTTTGAAGAAGTTCTAATAGAAATTAATCAGAATTTCGAGGGAAAAAAAGAGAAATTATTATTAAAAAAAACCATTTTTCAAATAGAATAGAATAATTCACTATTTTTATTATAAAATCCCATCGAAAAGGGCGGGAACCCCTTGCATATTCAAACCACAACCGCCTGCCGCCAGAAAGTCAATCAAGCATAAAAAAAAATCAATTCTCATCGAATCCTGAAATATGGAGCAAAACCATCACCGATGGAAATCCTTCTCCCCCACCCAGAAGTTCAATGCTTTCCCGTTCCCCCCAGTCTCCCACGGAATCACATTCGCAATTCCAAAGAATTCTCAAAATTCAGACAAAAAAAATGTATGTCAATATGAATCAGCGACAAGTCACTGAATAAACAAAGTCAGATCATCTGATTAGCCGTTTAATCTTTATAACCTTCAGAAATCCTGAAAATCGACTTCGCGAGCATTGACAAATAATTGACAATTGGCTATTAATATTCAATGAACTTTTATGGGAAAATATCGAATAGGAAAAATGAAAAATAGGAGTGAGACTCACCAAGTGTTTTCGTTCTCCTCCAGAGACATTCTGAATCCCAGAACAAACGTCAGAGCAAATTATTCCACAGGGAAATCTCTCACTTATGATCGAGGAAAATCAGTGGATGACTCGATTATTATCATGATTTACGATGATTTCTGGATTTATCAGTGTTCCCGCATTTGTCATTTTTCAATTCCACGTAGTCCTCCCGTGACGAGGACAGGGAGACGATAAAATTCGATAAAAAAAAATTCCATCGACGGTTATGTTGACATATGCTGGCTGCGCATGCGTCCAACAACGGCGCGAAGAGGCGCATGGGAAATTGAATTTCTTTGAGCTTCTTTTTTTGTCTTTGTCTTTCCTTTTTTAAGTTTTCAACAACAAAGGAGTTGTTGAGCGAAAACTGTTGGGTCTGAGGATAAAATTTATTGAATTTGTTCTGGATTTGGTGCTCTCAAGCTTTCTTGTTATTTATTTCCCGTTTTAAAATTATTTATTAAGAAAAACTGTGGAATTTTTTATTTATTTTTTTTATGGAAAAATTGAGAACAAAGACTTGTTGACTCGTTGAGGGCGAGTTTTTAAGACTGAGGGAGAATTTTATTGAGAATTTGTTTTTATCTACTGCTTATAAGGTTTTATGAATTTTTTCGGATTTATCAGTTGAAAGAAATCGTGGGAATTCTGTTTTTTGGGGGAATTCAGAGGGGAGGGGAGAAATAATTAGCAAATCTGCGAGATTTTGGAAATTGCAAATGGCGCTAAGAGATAATTGTTAGACAATTAGAGGACGTGCATTGTAAATCTAGTCGGTTGGCTTTGAGTTTTTGGGAACAGGGAGCTTTCATGAATTTTGTGGGGGAGGAAGTTAATTGAAAAATATTGGAACGAGTTATTTTTTATGATGGAGTCGTGTGATTATTACATTACAATACCTCCCAGATCATCCCTCTGCTGCACTGTCTGCACTGTTGATCCTGATGAGATCCGGGACTCCAGTGCTAAATCATATTTCCATTGGAAGACTCTCAAATGCAGGTAATCATTTTTTTCTATTAATTACCGAGTAATCAGGAAATGATTCACCTTTGATTTACCTGGCACAATCAATTTAGACTGTAAAATTTCTTTCTCGAATCACAGGATGACTATCTGAAATTACAAATGTCTTGTGAAAAATCATTTAATTATTATCAGGTTCAATGTCAAATCGATGGTGTCGAAAGAAATCACTTCGAAATAAATAATGGACCGTAAATAGTGGAGCAATATAAAGAAGGAAAAAAAAACATTCAACCCTTTGCAATGAAAATCTTTTGCTTTTAGGTACATCATAAACATGATGCCATCAACAGTAATTGCAAGTCCAATTCACCAGTCGAAGGGTGCGTTTTATGTGATTACAACCAGGGATTTCTACAAGACTGGAGTTCTGCAGAGGAATCTAATGAGAGTCAATCTAAAAGTATTAATTAATTCAGCCTTCACAAGTTAACGATTCAATCAGTCCAATAGATCATGTTCTTCAATAACATTTCAGCATTCAGTTCCACAAGCTGTGACCCCTCGAGCTTACGTCGACTGTTTAAAATACACTTTTGAGTTCTACTTATCCCCAAAATGGAATAGGGTTGCTGATGTTTACATGGAGGGCCACAATTTCCTCAGCAACTCGGAGTTTAACCCCGCCATTTGCAGCAGAATCAGCTTGATATCGAAGGAAACAGCCTTAAAAGACGAAATCAGGATGAGCCTGACTCCTGTCGCTGCTAAACTGCCTCCAATGAAGTTGGAGAACTTGGCGATTTCTTCGATGGTTGTTGGTCACTTCCTGCAGGATCCAGAGGGGGTCCTCGATGTCACTCTCTTCGCCACTCACAGAGTCATCGTAATCCCCAGGTAAAAATCAGGAGAAAGTAATAATAAATCAAGTGCACTGTTCGAAAATTACACTTAAAGTTTCAGATAAGAAAATTTGAAATTCTTAATAAATAACTGCAAAGTTACATAAAATTTCTGTATAATTGTTTATTGAGGGATCTTTTTATTTCTTGAATATTCTGGTAACTGGACCTGAAAAATCGTGAAAATGTTGATGATTCGATTTTTGAATCCAGTGAGAATTTGATTGTATTTAATGTTCAATATTCATGATGAGCATGAAAATTTAAGCTTTCATCGAAAAATCAAATATCACTCACCATAAAAAAGAGCCCAAATTTCTTGGATTCTCACGCTAAATGTAAATTTTAATGAACGTAATTAATGAAATAAATAGAATTGAAACTCATATAATAAAAAATTCAGATGACTTTGTGATTGAAATCTCAATCCATTTTTAACAGCATAGTAATTAAATTACAGTATGCGGAAGGCAATTCTGAAGAGAATCATGAAGAAGATTCCACCCACCTGTACTTTCCAAAATTACAGCGAAATTCGGAGGCACTGGAAGAATATGGTAAATAATATTCAAGGGCTAATGAAATTCTGATTTAATTTCGCTAAAAAATCAACAGAATTTTGAAAGTCCAGTTCTATATATCTTTAAATATACATCGTTCCATTGATGTTTTACATATATATGGTTTAAAAACGATAATAATATGTACCACAATATTGAAGCAAATTTTTCTACTGAACAATGAATAAATATATAAAACTATATATATGCGGTAAAAACGGTGATACTTTTCGTTATAGCAAAATTTTTTTAAGGAATGGGATAAATGTGTGGTTCAAGTCCAAAAACAATAATTATTTAAGGCCCGGATGGACTGCCTGGAAAAGATAATTTACTCCAAAATTGGGACTTCTAATTACTCCGTCAATTAATCGTTTTTTCCGATAATTTTTAGCTAGCGGCCTAGCTGTTGACAACCGCTAGGACGCTAACTAACAATTATTGAAAAAAAAACGATTAATTGACGGAGTAATTAGACGTCCCAATTTTGGAGTAAATTATCTTTTCCAGACAGTCCATCCGGGCCTTAATAATAATTTCTCGGCTGGAAAAGTAATTCGTATTCTTGCAGTACTGATGTCTGGATCCTTAATCAGGTGACGGAAACCCATCCAAATAAATATCCAACATCCAGAATACTCTGTTGGGCGTAAACTAGACATTTACGAACAATGAGATTGAAGTGATAAATTAAAAATGCTTGCAGTACGGCTACCGTCTTCCAAAAACGGACGAGGAGATGCTGTACTACGAGGTATACTTTCCAATTCCTTGTGCAACCATCGAGTACTTTATCTACCCAGACATCTGCATCAGACGAGAGATGTCCCAGCGTGCAGCAGATGGTCCAGAGCAAATAAATCGAAGATATCTGCAGGATCTCGGGTGCTCGATGCCGAAACTCCTCGATGAGCCACTCGAGCCCATCAACAAGTCCCAGGCGAATCCCACGAACTTCCAGAAGTCTTTGTTGATCGACACCTCTACAACTCCAGCACCTGTGGACGTCTCCCAGAACCTGGAGAATTCCGCTCGTCTTAGTCTCTCTGGGGGATCCCTGAAGAGGGACGCATCAACCCAGATGTCCCCCATCTCCAGCATTAGGGGCAAAGATGATAGAAAATTGAAGTTTAATAATTTGAAGAGAATCCAACAGATCCACAACGTCATCCCCTCGACCCTCTCGCTTCCCAGATCAATCGCGAAATCTCAGAAACCGAAAAAAATGTTTCTGAGTGAAGCTGAGATGTCCAAGTATTTCCGAAACTTCCAGAAGACGCATATCAATATTTTTAGTCCTATTACTCAGGAAACAATCAATGAAACTTCAAGTTTCCGTGAAATCCCGAGAAATTGATAATTGATTGTGTAATTAAGAATTTCCATTGAATCTTTCATTCTCATTTTTTTATTCGTTGATTTTCTATAAGATAATGGTGCAATTGATCAGGGCAATTCGTGTATGCGATGGATTAATTATATAATTATGCGTACAGTAAGAAATTAGGAAGAGACAATACGATAATTGTTGATTATTCTAGTTCTTGCGCTCGTACAGACGCGCATTACATTCAGAAATAACTGAGAGGAGTATGTTACGATCGGTGTTCTTTTTTATTCCAATTTCCTTCAGGTCTTTCTCGTCCAGAGTCAGGAACATCTCCACGTCGACCTAGGAGTAATCAACAGTAACGAAAGTGTAGACTGGCACAAGTCAACTCCATATCCCGAAAATTATGAATTTTTGATGGAAGCATTAAAGGAGTTTTTTCTTGATAATTCAATTTCCAACAAAAAAGCTTCTCTAGTATTTCCACTTAAAATCCATTGTTTTCCAGATTAATCGATATTCAATTTTAACTATAATTGTAATAAATGACTAGCCCCGATAACTATTTATATTGTCACTATTTCATCAGGGAATTCCTGTCCGTGAAAGACCCAATTAATGAATATTTCATAAATAATATAATTAATAAAGATGAGTCAGAAAATTTGATTGAAAATTTCGATAGACTTTTTTCTTTTCTCTACACATGCAATTATCGTTTTGAGTAGTCCTAAGAAAAAATCTTATTAGAATTTTTTGTAGGTAATTTCCGGATCTTCGAAAAAGTCTTATAAAATGTTTATCTACAACGTTTCATTCACGAAATAAAATTGAGAGAGTCGAGAGAGTCTTTACCTCTTGCTCGATGAAGATGAAAGCAAGATGATTGAGCCCAAAGCGTTTCAGCAAATGAACCATCTTTCTCTGGTTCTCCTTCAAGTAAAATCCACTCGGTGGCGTTTCACAATCTATTGGCTGAGGTGTTTCCTCATTACTAAAGAGGGAATCGTCGGAGGAGCTCCCAGGGAACGGAGAGGGCACAGGACTTAACTGATTCAGGTCCTCTACTTCCTGAAGATTCTGTTCAAAATTTGCCTCCTCAATCACTAGATCCGGTGGACGGAGCATCTTGTACCTTTTCAATCACCAGAAAAATTAATTAATAACAAAAAAAACCCGATCTTGCAACAAAGATTCCCCAAAATAAGGACAATCTAAGAAAAACGTAAATCGGTCTCTCGATAAATTCACTGAATATCTCTAAGCCTATAGAATTTGCAAAGAAAAGTTATTAGACTTTTTTGTAGCCCTGGGAATTCTCTAAACAAATGATCTTATGAGTCTCCCCTCTGGAGCTACTAGTTTCCGAGATATTGATGGCAAAACAATGATTCTGACTTGTGTGAAAATCGAGTCGACAGCTTTTGCAGAATTTCTTCCCTTTTTTTTATTTCTTCTCTGGAAATATTCTTACTTTGAATTGGATACGATCGATTGATGAGGAGTAGATGTGTCTGGAGGATCATCTTCACATGAATTTAAAACGGATGAATCATTCACGCAGGAATTGGATGCGTATTCATTCGAAGAAATAGAGAGTGAATCATCAAGGCAGAAGGAATCGTTCAGTCCGAAGGATAATTGATTCTTCTCATTGTTTACATCATGAGTCTGTTTCTTCATCAAACCCTCATTCATCATGGCATCGACGCTATCATTCAAATCCATCGTTTGGAATGTTTTTATCAATTTATCGGCGACATCCGTCGTCACATTTGGAGAATGTCTCTTCCATTTTGGAGGTGGAACCGGCAGGGATTTTATTCTCTCTGGAGGTGTATGTTCGTTCAAGTATCTCTGATTAGTCTGAGTCAAACCCGGTGGTGAAACTTCGGCCATTTTTCATTATTCTGTTGTCAATTGTGTCGTTCTGGCAATAAAATATTAATAAAATAATCAATTCAATAGCGAAATGGACAATTTCATTCTTTCCAAGTCAGTTTTTTGATAACATCTCGAAAAGGACGAAAGATAGCGATATTTTTGGTTTAACATTCTTTGTAGAAAAAGAGAAGAGCTATAAAAAAAGTTCTGGTGAAAATATCACTATCTTCCTTCAGTTCGAAGATATCTTCTAAAAACTGGCATTACAAAATGCGCGCAGCGCAGTTAATCATTTCGCAACAATTTTGTATGAATAATTGAGGGAGAGAATAAATAAATAATTCGAAAAAATTGACTCACTTATTAGAATGCTTTTCACCCGTTAAACTATAAAATTCCGAACCAGCAGTGTCTTTACAGAAATATCGCCTTAAACATTCGTAAACTCAATTCTGTTTCACTTTCCATCGTGTCTGAATTCACAATGAATTTAGAGATCGGAAGAATAGCCCGAAGGCCCGAGTCATTCAATAAATACTGTGTTTACAGTTTATTTTGAGTCTTAAATCAAGAGATCAACGCCAATTTGATATTTATATCAGAAATTGACAGCCTTGAGACCTTAGATTTGTCTCATGACTCCCATTATTCACCCAAACAATTCGATTTTGCTCTGAGGATTTGACTTCCTCTGAAAAATTCTATTGAATTTCTATTGAAATCACAGCATGCTAAAATCATGCTGGATGAAAAAATCATCATTTCTCATACACATTATCTGAAAATTAAAAAAAAAACCGCACGTATACAAATGGTCACAAATCGGTTTTAATATGGAATATAATTAGTAGATAAATAATTTATTTCCTAAAGAAACAATAGCAGCAATTTTAGGAATGTAATTTTATAATTGAATAATTAGTAATCTATTTATGATGAACTCTTTAATTATGGATGTTTAGTTAGCCGGTGGTGGCTCAAATATTGATCAGGTCGATTTAAATGAATTATTTTGCAATTATCAACGATTAATAAAGTCATGTATTATTCAGATTTTCGACTATTATAAAGTTAACTATTATAGACTACTTTTTGGAAATTATATAGTTAAGATATGTGAAAAAAATACATTTTTCCCGGTATTGCCTTCTATTTTTATTTATATTTTTAGCATCTTCAAGTAGATAAATATTGACGTCATGAAACCGTGATTGGGCGCGCAGTGCGCGCTTCCATCCTTCCTATAGAAAAATCTACCACCAGCTCTCAAAAATTAATTTCTCCTTTTTTAAGATTAAGCTACTCCCTTCATCTAGATAAAACTTTTACTTTAATAAATCAAGTTTATTATTTAGAAACGATAGATGAAATGTCTTAAACATTTCCTCTCTTCCCATTGTCACCCCTTCTGTGTTTATCAGCATTTTTATCGTCTTCAAGTAGATGAATTATCAAAATTGAACTTAGATGACATACGATCCAGTGTTTTAAGTAAAAAATTGTTTATTCATTCCTGTGAAGACTTGGGATGAGTCTATTGTTAATATAAAAAAATCCGTTTCCCTAAAACACCAGATTTGTTGCATATTCTTTATTTAATCGATTCCTGATAAAATATATCGTAGTAAATTGAAGACAATTAAAATTGAAAAGCATGTCGATAAAGTAAACCTCTCTTTTGAGTATTCGTAGCGAAGAGGATTGACTGAAGTAGAGGCTTAGTTTTGGGGGTTTGAGTGACCCCAGCGGCATCGTAGTACTGCACCCCAAGAGAGGGAGGACGCCACACGCAATGGGGGTGTCGTCCCGTCAGCCGACTCGGTAACTGCCTCAGTAGTAGTCCCGCTGTCAGAGGGACTAGTCAATTGGGTGAATTTTATTTTATGTGTTACGAAATTGGTATTCACTGAAATTTAAAAATGAAAAATTGTTTAAAAAGTATCAGGGGAGCATGAAAATCGAGGAGGTATTCACTGATATTTGAAAATTCGAAATTTTTGAAAAAGTATCAGGAGAGCATGACAATTGAGGAAGTATTCACTGAAATTTGAAAAATTCGAAATTTTCAAAAAAGTATCAGGGGAGCATGAAAATCGAGGAGGTATTCACTGAAATTTAAAAATTCGAAATTTTTGAAAAAGTATCAGGAGAGCAACAATTGAGGAAGTATTCACTGATATTTGAAAATTCGAAATTTTTGAAAAAGTATCAGGAGAGCAACAATTGAGGAAGTATTCACTGAAATTTGAAAATTCGAAATTTTTGAAAAAGTATCAGGGGAGCATGAAAATCGAGGAGGTGTTCACTGAAATTGAAAAATTCGAAATTTTTGAAAAAGTATCAGGGGAGAATGGAAATGGAGGAAGCATTCACTAAAGTTAAAAAATTTAAAATTTTCAAAAAAGTATCAGGGGAGCACGACAATCGAGGAGGGATTCACTGCAATTCGAAAAGTCGAAATTTCTGAAAAAGTATAAGGGGAACATGAAAATCGAAGAGGTATTCACTGAATGTCGAAAATTCAAAATTTTTCGAAAAGTATCAGCGGAGCATGAAAATCGAGGAGGTATTCACTGAAATTGAAAAATTAAAAATTTTCAAAAAAGTATCAGGGGAGCACGACAATCGAGGAGGGATTCACTGAAATTCGAAAAGTCGAAATTTCTGAAAAAGTATAAGGGGAACATGAAAATCGAAGAGGTATTCACTGAATGTTGAAAATTCAAAATTTTTCGAAAAGTATCAGGGGAGCATGAAAATCGAGGAGGTATTCACTGAAATTGAAAAATTAAAAATTTTCAAAAAAGTAACAGGGGAGCATGAAAAACGAGGAGGTATTCACTGAAATTTGAAAAATTCGAAATTTTCAAAAAAGTATCAGGGGAGCATGAAAATCGAGGAGGTATTCACTGAAATTGAAAAATTTTAAATTTTCAGAAAATAAAATTCACCCTGTCGACTGGTCTTTCTGACAGCGGGACTGCTACTGAGGCAGTTACCGAGTCAGCTGACGGGTGGACACCCCACCATTGGGTGCGACCCGCTCTTTCTCTTGGGGTGACATACTACATGGTGGTGGGGTCACTCAAACCCCCACTGAGCGGCTCAGTTCTGCGCGAGCACCCCACCCCAAGAGAAAGAGGGGAGCGCACCCAATGGTGGGGTGTCTACCCGTCAGCGGACTCGGTAACTGCCTCAGTATAGTAGTCTCGCTGTCAGAGGGACCAGTCAACAGAGTGAATATTAATTTCTGCGTTACGAAATTGGTATTCACTGAAATTTTAAAATTTTATGGAGTCACTTAAATTTTTTGCGCCCATTTCCGAATTTGAGTGAATCCCTCCCCATTTTTATGCTCCCCTAATACTTTTTTGAAAATTTTTAATTTTTCAATTTCAGTGAATACCTTCTCGATTTTCATGCTCCCCTGATACTTTTTTGAAAATTTTAAGTTCTTCAATTTCAGTGAATACCAATTTCGTTTTTTCGTAACGCAGAAAATAACACTCACCCTATCGATTGGTCCAGTTAGCGAGTCGGCTGACGGGCAGACACCCCCATTGCGTGTGGCGCTCTCCCTCTCTTGGGGTAGAGTACTACAATGTCGCTGGGGTCACTCAAAACCCCAGAACTGAGCCTCTACTTTAGTCAATCTTCTTTGATTGGTAGACTGTCGTGTGACTATATTCACGTCTGAGGTGAGAGAGTAAACCAACGATTCTTTGATGATCCGAGGGGGGTAGAACGGGCGGACGATCCTGCAAAGTGTTTTGTTTCCCTGAAATCAACAAACTATCGTTAAAAATAATCTCTGAATAATTGCAGTGTTCCCCTCTAATTAATTCTCGTCCAGCGATCATTCTGTACAAAAAAATCTGTGGTGGAACGGTCCTAAAACTAGACTCACTCTCACTCATCCATTGGCCTATTCATTCTCTCGGGATTGAGCTCGATTTGCTGCAGGTGTTGAGTAATTTCACCTCCTGGACATTGAATCTCAAGATTTTACCCATAATGAAGAGACTCTCCACGTCTCCGTGGGCCAATTATCGCGATAATTCGTAGTTCTGGGGGGGAAATGAACAGAGTCTGCAAAATCGATTGGATAATTTTGCCTTGAGGACAGTCTACGGATTATGTCAAATCTTTGAGGTAAATTTAACATTGATTATTGTTTTTCTTTGTCATTGATTTTTATGTGTTTGATTCTTTAAAATGTGAGGGTGATTCTCGTTTTGGGGATGGCAATTGATTTTCTCTTTGGGCGAACAGAACAAAATGTCTGATGATAATGCATCCATGGATTCGGATGAGGATATCTTCAGCTCAAGACCTAGAAGATTGAGTGGAAGATCCTCTCACAGGGTCATAAGGACACAACCTGGAGTCAGGAGGAGCACCAGGAACAGAATGCAGACTTATGATAACTTAAACACCAGTTGGATACTAGGTTAGTTGGGAGGTCTCCTATCGAATAAATTTCTTTTGACACAAGAATTATTTTTACTTCACACAAAAAAATATTCTACTGCCGATCTATTTAATAGCCTAATATCCCTGTTTGTTCTCGTACTGGGGGAAAAAACTTCTATTGATAAAGGAAATTTATTTGATGATTCAAGAAAATATTTTCTTGTCAATTTTTTTAGTCGTGAAATTACCTGAAAAATCCTTTTGTTCATGCACCGAAAGAAGAATCATGCTGTAATTACTAATTAAACAATTGTTATTCAATTTAATCTGAAATATAACTAATTATTGAATCAATAGAATAATTTATTGGATTTCACGAACACTGAACTTGGGATCTTGGAATCTAATAGATTAACAGAAGAATCCACACTTTTATTCTATAGCATTTTTCCCTAATAAAAGTAAGACTGCTGTATTTTCCTTCTTGCATCGTTTAAAGGTTTCAAAATATATGGAGGAAAGTTGGTCAAAGTGGAATGCTTTCTATTTATCACAATTTATGATATCTTTAGAAAGAGGAATTCTTACAACAGAAGTGCCATTTTATTCTCCATCCCCTGTAACAAATAATCGATTATACACTTTTTCGTGAGTATATTGAATTTAATAATCTTTCCACCTTAAACTCTACAGTTCCGTCAAATTATTTCAATATTTCCTGAATTATTCGTGACTCGTTGAAATTGTATTTTATCGCCTCCTGATTCAGCACGTACGTAAATTCAGGTTTGAATAGAGAATTACGTCAGCCTGTAGCTCACAAATTTTTCTAACAAAAACTACTGTAAAGATTGGAATTTATGTCCCTGTAGGAACATTCGCGTGCAGTTCAACATGAAATTGTCCCCTCTCATATCCACACGAAAAGGAAAACCAAAAGCTTTAGCAAATTTTGTTGGACTAGCCGAACCGCTGATTAAAGATAACGAAAAATAAATTACAAATCCCAAATAACATAGCGCATTTCCAAGAATTATTAAGTTAATTTTTTGTTATTATCACCTGAGAATTCCAGCCATCATCAAAAACCCAAAGTATTCAAGTGCTGCTGTTGACATTATTTACTGCCGCTGTTGTGAGCTCTATAATTTTGTCTCCAGGAACGCAAACACTAAAAGGCTACCCGATGTTCCACAATCACGCCTCGTCTTCGGACAAGGAGATGGCGGATGATCCTCCGGAGCGTTCTCGTGATCTCCGGGAGCGAATGCCCCTGCGTTCCCGAGAAAATCATCCACCTCCCTCAAAATCAACTCGTCACATACGGGACCGTCCACCACTGCCTCGAGACCGTCCCTCACTCACAGAATCCGACCCGAAAAATCTCCGGGAGTCGCGTCATCCACCGAAGGATTTAACCCAGAAGATCACGACGCGCAGTAAATCAGAGGTGCCAAAATCCCCTTCTGAGGAAAAAGAAGTACGAACTCGCAAAACTGACAGTCCAAGTCGTCTCCGTGAGGGCCCAGTGACACGACTCTGTGGAATGCTCGATAAAGACGATAAAGTCGAGAAAGTGAAGTCCGAGCCAACGGAGAGGAACGACGATAGCTCCCAGGAATCAGAGAAGCCAGATAACAATGGGAATTCTGACAACGACGACGGATACGAGGACATGTACACGCGGATCAAAAGAACCCGTCGAACATCACAGCGACAGCTCGATAGGAAGAAGATGTCGGAGAGCGATATGAGTGAATCTTCGGATTCACCGGGTCCTCGGAAGTATAGCCTGCGACAGAAGAAACCGACCGTTGACAGATTTCAGGCAAATGCTGAGCCTGGGAGAAGGTCTATCAGGGCTCTCAGGAGTGTTCTCACCAATTCTATGCGCAGACGGAAGCACAGGAGCAAGAGCTCGTCCTCTTCGGACTCCGATGATCCCGAGCCTCAGAGGTATGCAAAAAATTCATCGATTTCATCGAGTTCAGGATGCTCCACACTCATATATAAAAAAAATATAACGTTTTTACGTTTTGTCACTATTCAATAACGCACCAAGTTTTGCAGTGATGTGATCATTTTCATGCATTTTCTCTACAGTTTAGTGATTCTCTTTGAAAGTTTAAACAAAACGCTGAAAAGTGTCCACACCAGCTTGAAACTTCGCGAGTTGTTAAATAATGACAATACGCAAAAAGTAATATTTTTTTACGACAATCATATAATAAATTTGCCATAAAAATGAAAAAAACGATAATTCTGGCTATGGATGGGTGTAGTGCCCCCCTAAAGGTGTTATACGCAGCTCCAAGGCCTGAAAAAAAAACATTTTTTTAAACTAATTTTTCCGTATAAGGTTTTAGCAAATAAATACAAGAAAGAATTACTCAAATAGTTACTAATTTTAATTAATGAATGGCACTTGGATTGTGCAAAAATATTGATACTTATTGTTCCTGTAGACGGTCTTCCGAAAGTCCTCCAGAACAATGAACTCATCTTCTCTCATCACTTCGCTGGTAAATTCGTTTATTAATTTAGTTATATATTCTTTAGGTACGACAAGAAGAAGGGAAAGAAGGCGAGACAGACAGCGGTTCCTCAGGGTGGGCCTCCAGATAAAAAAGCAGACATAAGTCCCATAACCCTGGACACAAACATCAGATTTAACGACGTAGGAGGCCTGGAGTCGCACATCCACTGTTTGAAAGAAATGGTGGTGTTTCCAATGATGTATCCAGACGTGTTCGACAGATTTCACATAACTCCACCCAAGGGAGTGCTGTTCCACGGTGCCCCAGGCACAGGAAAGACCCTGATTGCAAGGGCTCTGGCGAATGAATGCTCTCAAGGCTCTCGGAAGGTGGCATTTTTCATGAGAAAAGGTGCTGACTGTCTCTCCAAGTGGGTGGGAGAATCCGAGAGACAATTGAGACTGCTCTTTGAGCAGGCCCAACAAATGAAGCCTTCCATAATCTTCTTCGATGAGATCGATGGGCTAGCACCAGTTAGAAGCACCAAACAGGATCAAATTCATGCCAGCATTGTCTCAACTCTTCTAGCACTGATGGATGGACTGTCTGATCGAGGTGAAGTGATTGTCATTGGAGCAACCAACAGAATTGACGCAATAGATCCAGCTCTCAGGCGACCAGGGAGATTTGACAGAGAGCTTTACTTTCCCCTTCCAGCGATGAAAGAGCGACTGGAGATCCTGAAGATTCATGTGGTCAAGTGGCGACCTCCACCCACTGATGACCTTCTCGAAGCACTTGCTGAAAAGACAACCGGCTACTGCGGCTCAGATCTCCGCGCTCTCTGCACTGAGGCTGTCCTCCAGGGGCTCAGAAGAACGTATCCCCAGATTTACAAAACAAGCAATCGATTGCTACTGGATCCACGGAGGGTCGAGGTCAAGAAGAGAGATTTTATCGAGGCTAGTTCGATTCTTGTGCCATCTTCTCACCGGGTAGCACCCAGTGTCAGCAGGAAGCTACAACCTTTCTTGGTACCTCTCCTGGGGCCGGCACTTGAGGATTTGGTCAGTGCTGTCAAGGCGATTTTTCCACAGGGAATCAATCCTGCTTTGGCTAAGATCAAAGTCGCCAAGGGTATTCACATGCCCAGGATGTTGGTCACTGGGGACGACATGTCCCATGGACAAGGACCCAGACTTGCACAGGCCCTTCTCTACAGAATGGAGCACGTACCTGTCCAGACACTTGATGTCAGCACTCTTTTTGCTGAGAGCGCCAGGTCACCTGAGGAAACATGTGTCCAGGTGTTCAATGAGGCATCCAGGAATATTCCCTCGATCATCTACATCAGGTCCATTGATCAGTGGTGGCCTCTGGTTCCTGAAACTGTCAAGGCTGTCTTTATGTGCAGAATTGCAGCTCTTGATCCCTGCCTTCCTATTCTCATTCTGGCTACCAGTGATGTGGACTACAGGGAGTTGCCACCAAAGCTGAAAAATCTATTCAGCGAACTCAGGGGAGAGGTATACACTATGAAGAGCCCTGGGGTGCAGCAGAGGGAGGCATTCTTCAGGCCTATTTTTGTGGAGCAGAGCTTCAGGGGACCATTGGTCAAGGACGACAAGGTTAAGGAAATGGAGGAGTTGCCTCTGGCACCTGATCCCATGCCAAAGAAACTTACTGATGAAGAGGTGAAGGTCATCAGGGAGAAGGAAGAGGTGTCCCTCAGGGAACTGAGGATCTTCCTCAGGGAGATCTGCGCAAAACTCGCCAGGAATCGACAGTTAGTACTTTTTAAAAATCGTGTAAATTACATTTAAGTTTCCAAATTTATGAGATGGAATACAATCATCTATAAAAATGGATTTCTTTCATTTGTAGATTTTTCATGTTTACGAAGCCAGTGGACACTGAGGAAGTACCAGATTACAATTCAATTATTAAACAGCCTATGGACCTCGAAACAATGATGACGAAAATCGATATGCACTGTTACCTCTGCGCACGTGATTTCCTGGATGATGTGGATCTCATTTGCAGAAATGCATTAGAGTACAATCCGGACAGGTAACAATAAACTTATTAAATCATTCAATACATGCACTTGAAAAATTGTCAACAATCATGAAGGAGGTGGTCTCCATTATTATCTCTTTAATTGGCTTCAATCGTTGCAAATATTCTCATTTCCCTATCAAAACGGAAATGGTCAATTGGACAAATAAATACTGAGAAAAAAAAATCCTCAAAATTTGGTATTCAAACTGAAAAAATATTTCTGCAGTGAAATGGTGACTTACCTATTCGGAAAGTTTTTTTTGGAAATATGCCCGATACTAAAGGAGATAGCAAAATTTTCATTAGAATCCCCTTATCAGAGCAAATGGAGAGCTACAAAAGAGGTAATGACAAATATTTCGCTATGCCATTCAGTTTCGGAGATATTTTCGAAAAAGTCACCGAAGTGTCAATTTATCTTGTTGAACCAATTCACATCAGATTTATCCGCTACTTTTTTTATCAAGTCACTAATTCTCAGCATGAATTAGGTTTTTACTTGCCTGTGCAAGTGGAGTAACCATCTTCTTGAATACACCAATGAATCACCAGTGATGACATCTCACCAATAAACGTGTAAAACTCACTGAATAATTCTTGTTCCATTCAGCTTGCGCGATAGGCCCTCCCTTGGGATACTGAAGAGGTAGTCTCTCTCCATTTCACCTCTGATGCCTTGATATATCGTAGATCAATGATTTTCAGTTGTGAAACCCTACGCTGTACCGACTGAAAACCATTTTAGATAACCCTTTCGCGGAAAGACAATCCTCAGATCGAGAATTTACCCCATTTCTCTATAAAAAAATGTTGAATTTTTTGTTTTATGTAGAATTCAATCGCGAAGAAGTGAAAGGTAACAATGATTTGATTCATGCCTGTATGTACTATCTATCGAACGTAATCGTTGGATTCAATTTTATCTTGTTACCCTAGATGTCTAAATTTGGGTTTCAAATTGTGTTGCGGAAATCACTCCAATGGATATAAAGAAATTATATGACGAGATATTGATTCGCAGGGATCTGCTGAATTTATAAGAGAATCATGAAAAATATGGAATTGACAATCGGTGACGTTTGACAGTTAATTTTCATTCTATATTGTTATTTGGCGTCAAATGTATTCTCTTCTTGTATTATGGCGATTGGTAAATTGTGTATTTTTATTTATTTTTCTGTAATCTTGACAGATCCCTCGATGCACCAATCGTCAACAGCTTTTTCTTCTTATCATTACTTGTTTCTAACCATTCGAGTAGCTCCCGCAATACAATGTGAAATTTAAATTTAGCAATATTTCGGACTAACAAGATCAAATTCAGGAATGTAATTTAAAGAAAGTACATAGATAAAATTTTTAACTCGATGGAAGAAAAATTGGAATCTCTAGATAACGTCATGGACCAAGTCTGTAATAGATGATAGACTGATAGGGCAGAAAGTCCTATGAAAACTTCTCGATCCAGGATAATTTTTCTGTGCTCTCCTGCCCCTTCCTCTGATCAGCAACTAACTTTTACTCTTCTCAACAGAGACCCTGCGGACAAATTAATCCGTCATCGTGCATGTTCCCTTCGTGACAATGCGTACGCCCTCATCAAGGCCGAGCTGGACTCCGACTTTGAAGACAAATGTCGAGAGATATCGAAGAATCGTCGAGCCCCGGACGACCTCGAACCTCAGGTGAATCCACGATCGAAACAAGAAAATCCCCCAAACGAGACTAAATCAGATAAAAATCAGAGCCCAGGAAGTTCAGTGGTGTTCAACGGCAGGAAATTGAGCTCGAGGAAGAGGAAAGTACCAGCGTGGGCCAGAGGATACGTCAAGAAGGTTACGAAAAAAAAGAAAATCATGTTCGAGGAGAGTACCAATGAGAGTCCAGCCAAGGGAAACAATGGAACAAGGGTCGTGGACCTCGAGAAATTCCAGGAGTTCGAGGCAAATGCTGTTGTTATGAATGGGGACTCGACGATTTATGATAATACAGACTCTGAGAATGAGTCTGTCAACGAAGGAATTCATAAAGAAGTCGTTATTGGCAGTCAGGTAGAGGTGATCATTGATAAAAGAGAAAAAGTAGAGAAAGGGGAGAGGGGAGAGGAGAACAGGGAAGTGTCTGTGGAGGAAAAACCTGTGGAGAATGGCGAGTCCCACAGCTCATCTAGGAGAGAGAGCACTGATGATCTCACCTTTGCTGTCAACTGCGATTCTAGTCCGAAGAGAATGGGTGAGGAGAAAGTGGTGGTGGATGCTGCTGAGCTCGAGGAAGCCTGGAAGCACACCGTCCAAGTTACCGGGGAATTATCTGTTGAGGTACTGTGCGATATCTATGTACAACTCAGCAGGTGCGTTGGGAAGTATGAAACGACGTGGGACAGGAGGACACTGCCAAAGGTGAGATTATTCGAATTTACTATTCAATATCAATATCTTTCAAACTGAATTTTTCATATCTATTCCTTTTAATAACCTTTTTTTATGAGTAAATAATGCAAATTTGTTTAAGTCTCAGAATCTTTTAGCGGCGCGAGCTCGTAGTCTTGTATAAATATATTTAATAAAAATCAAGAGTGAAATTGAAAGCTTAAAATATTCAAAAAATTAAATGTACGTAACTAACCAACGTAATCTTTGGTTTGAATATTATCTCGATAGTGTAAAATACTTCTAAATTCGGGGTTTGAATTAGGTTGCAGAAATCACTTCAATAATTATGAAAAAAATACTGATAAAAGACAGGAAAAATTGTTGAGGGGGGGCAGATCAAGATACTGATTACAGGGGATCTGCCAAGTTTGCAAAAAAAAAACAATGAAAAACACGCTGTTTACCATTGGTAATACTTGACAGTCTATTTTCATTCAATATTATTAAAAGATGTCAAATGTATTCTCTTACTCCATCATGGTAGCTGGTAAGCTGGCTGTTGGTAATTATTTTCTACAAACTTCGCAGATCCCTTGGAATCCATATCTCGATCTGCCACCCTTCACCATTTTTCTCTTTTTTTTTATGATTATTTTTTATAACCATTCGAGCGATATCTGCAATATAATTTGACACCGGAAACAATATTTCGCACTAACAGCATAAAATTCAAACCAACGATTACGTTTGATAGGTAGTACATGATAACATTACGACCAAATTCTGGAATATCTAGGGTGAAATGGGACGTATAGGGCTCAAATGAGCACTCGGATGATGAATGACATTTCAGAAATAATTGGATGAAGAATAATTACGATTTTATTGGTCCCTAGGATTTGCTCAAAGAACTACAGAGATTTGAAAGCCCCACCGACAACCCTATGGAGACGTCCGAGAGAGAATGTAACGGTTAGAACTCTGTAAAAAAAATCGATACGTATCATTAATGTCACTCATTGGGATAATTGGATCGCGCTGCTGCGCATCACGCTTCATCGAAACTGCCGAAACCATGGACAATTATTTTTCGTCTACTCGTCCCCGCAAACAACATTTCCGTCATCACTAATGATCGATGAAAATTGTACATAATTGCCCAATTTTTGTATTTTCGTTCTTTTATATTTCGTATTATGAATTCTGTGGATACTCAGATCATCCAAATGCAGTTATTCATGTAATTTAAGAACTTTGTGATTATTGTCATCTTTATTCAGTACAATCACTTTAATGCTTGTACTTACTCGTTTTTTCCTCCATCATTTATTTTTTTTTTTCATTAAAACATGAGTCTCGAGAGCAAAATCATTACTAATTAGAACAATTTTGTTGCCAATTAGATTGTAAATTCGGTATTGAATGATTAATTGTCCGAGGGTAGAATAAAAATATATAGAGATTCGATAGTGAAGTGATAAAAGGTAACAAATGAGTCGATTTTTCACACTCTGTCATCAAATATTCAATAATATTCGTAATTAGTGGGTTTGAGTGAATTCTTCTCTAAATCCGCGCCTTATAACTTCACTAAGCCAAAGGGTAAAGTTCTAAAGTAAATTCCAAATGAAAAAAAAAAGAATGACGAACAATTTGAAACACTTATCTGAAATTCTTATTAGTTCTCTCATTGTCCATCGTTCGTATAATTACACTGCCCTGTTCATCCGACAACTGAATAATTATAGATGAGAAAAACGAAATTAATGATAATGCTTCATAAATAAACTTGGAGTACAAACATTCCAGCGAAATGATCGTTAAATTAGGGAAGAGTGGAAGCCAATCATCCGTTACCTCTATATCATCATTAATTTATTGAAATCATGAAGATAATGCCAAGTCAATGAGCTTCCAGTCAACCACTGCCGAACGTTATCAAATGCTATTTTATTTTTCTCTAATAGTTTCTGTTTTCGATAACTGTATTTAATTTATAACTGATATAACTTAACCAAGTCGTTAAAAAAAATTGATGCAGTCATTGAATGTTCAATTTATGGGAGTGGAGAGATTGAGGGTAATTTGAACGTTTGATGACTGGTGTAACACAGGCTCACTCACAACGTTACATAATGATAAGTATCAAATCGGATTGTAAGCGATGAAAAGTGAATACACTGCCTTATTTATTGTAACACATAAGTACACTATTTGTTATGCAAGGAAAGTGGATGAAGGAAGGAACCAAGGCGAGGAATAAACTTTAGAATTTGATAACTTGATTTTCATGGTTTATATCTTTCTTTATTAATTCCACTACCTAATTTTCTGTTGGTTTTATTTCACAGAAGACAGAGACTTTTCTCCTGTGGGAGAAAAATTAGTAGACTCTCAAGCAAGTCTTTATTAACAATAACAAAATAAATGGTTTATCACTTTACAGTTATTATTTTTAGAAAACCCATTTCAGGACCTAATCACCTTTTATAGAAGGAAATTTTGTGAAAAATGTTTTGATTTTAATTGATAAGATTGCTGTCCCATTATTATTATTATTATTATTATTATTATTATTATTATTATTATTGCAGGTAACGTGTAGAATACAAGTAATCATTAGTAATTTAATATTCGCCATCTGAAATTAGCAAAATTTGCCGGTTTGCGTATTTCAAGTGTTTTTTTAAATTCATTGGCCACTGGGGAATGTCAAATATGAAATTTTATTGTTAAAAAAAGAAAAAATTTTATTCAGGAATTTTTTTAGAGTCAAATTTCGTGGGTGATGAAAGTCAGTTGGTTCCATTAAAGAGAAATAAAAATCTGTTAAAAAATCTTTTATTTGTAATTTGGAAAATTCAGTATCATGACAACGCAGAAGGATTTCTCGTGTATTGGGGGATTGGATAAACATATTAACATTGTCAAGGAGATGGTGTTGTTTCCCTTGATGTATGGCTGGGTTTATTCGAAATTCCATCTGAGGCCACCCAGAGGTTTACTATTCTATGGACCACCAGGTAATCCATTTTTTAAATCAACAATTTGAGATGCGTTCATTCAGAAAGTTCGTTTCTAGGGGCAGTTATCGCAAAATGCGACATAAATTATGTAATAATCCATTGCAGAAAATGATAAGAGAATTAGAGGGGCAATTTCGAATTAAATAATGTCAGTTTACGTAAAAACTTAAAAATGTTCTGCCCACGTATATCCAAAATTGCTGATTCTTTGAGTTTTTTAAACAAATTACTGTTTTCACGTTTTATCATTACTTAATTATCTCGAAAATGCCACGATTATGCAATAATTTTCTTGCGCTTTTCTAAATTTTTCAAAAATCGATGAAACTTTATAAAAAACAGAAAAATCATTGGACGAGCCTGAAATTCTGTGACTCGTCAAATAATCATAAAATGCAAAAAGAACATATTTATTCGGGTAAATCCAATGAACAAATTGCCAATTTGTCATAATCCAATTTGTTATAAGATAAAAAAATAATCCTTAAATGGATGATTGGACATCAAACTATGAAAATGAATAACTGAAAAATTAGGAACCGGAAAGACACTGGTGGCGAGTGCCCTAGCAGTGGAATGTAGTAATTCCGAGAGAAAAGTGTCATTCATCTCTCGAAAGGGTTCAGACTGTCTTTCCAAGTACGTAGGGGAGAGTGAGCATAAACTTCAGAAAATCTTCACCATGGCACAGCAGAATAAACCCTGCATCATTTTTTTCGACGAAGTTGACGGTTTGGCACCGGTGCGAACAAGTCGACAGGATTTCGTTCATGCGAGTGTTGTATCGACTCTCCTGGCATTGATGGATGGACTGGACAACAACTCGGAAATTATCGTGATCGGTGCGACCAATAGATTGGACGCCATCGATCCAGCTCTGAGAAGACCTGGCAGATTCGACAGAGAACTTTATTTCCCGTTACCCTGTTACACAGCTCGGAAGGACATTTTGTCCGTAAGGAACCTATTCTACCTAATCATTTATCCCAATTAGTTTTTTACAAGTTTTTTGCAAATTTCTGAGAAGCAATTGATCAAGTTGACGTGAAAAAATATACCCTTTTCAAGTTTTACAAGATATTGATTATTTTATGGTATGTGATGAAAGAAAAAAAGCATGAAATTCTTTCTAGACAAATGATTAAAGGAATTTTTCAAGGCAAAATTACACATCCCCAAAAAAGAGCGCATGTTTCAGCTTAAAAAAAACATTTTCTATAGTTTCAATTTTTCTATTAAATTTATCATGTATAGTATATCTATATTTTTTTTTATTTTTTAATACTAGCGTATACGGCGCGCTATGCGCGCCCAAGCTTACATGTATGGGGTATTGTCATATAAAATCTTCATATAAATTTTGAATATTAAAAGAATCTTAAGTATCGCAAAAAATTAGTCATAATTTAAGTTTTTTTTCTTCAATTAAATTCAATTGATAAATATAACAATAATAAACAATTATATATAAATTAAAAATTAATATATATATATATATATTTAATATAATAATTTATTAATATATATATATAATATACATTATATATATCATATATATATACATTAATTATTTATATGAATATATTAATATCATATGCATAGCTTAGCTATGTGCCAAAAAAAGCTGACAAAAAACGTTACATGCTTTTTTTTAAAAGGGACAGACCCACGTAAAGTCATGAATCATTGTGATCGGTTCGATGACCCAGTTATTACGATCAAGTAATCAATTCTTGCATTTAAGTATCCAACTGACTATAGAACACCATTTAATGTCACTGTCCTCAACATTTAAGAATATTCAGGAATACGAAAATTCCTCAAAATTCTAAAAATTTGCCAGTTTTGTATCAATTTTCAGAGGAGAGTAGAACGTAAACGTCCAGAGCTGTTTGATTTTTTGGAAAACTTGTTAATTTTCAATGTCGATTTCGAAAATCTCAGTGAAATTATTACCGGATAAAAAAATTGCGACGATACGTTCCAAAATGATAAATTTACAAAATATTATCCTGTGAAGTTTCTTTAATTTTCTCCATTTTGTTATCAATCATATAATTTTCGTTCGTCTGTTTTCATAATCAACAGTTCCAATATAATGCATAACTCGCCGGTGTAAAACCGTCAGGCGATGCCCAGTGGTATTGAATTACGTTATAAATAAATAAAACTTGTCAGGTTCACGTGAAGAATTGGAAGCAGAAGCCAGCAGTGAAATTCATTGCTTATCTGGCTTCAAAGACCGTGGGCTATGGTGGAAGTGATCTGCAGGCACTTTGTGCTGAAGCCGTCATGTGCTGTGTCAGGAGACATTATCCGCAGATCTATACATCCAAGGCGAAACACCAGATCAATGAGAGAGCTCTAAAAGTAATTGACTAGGGCTGCGAAATTTATTGGAAGATTATACCCAACAAGGTTGGGAAGCGCCAGGATTCACAGGCAAATCTGCCCAAAATTGATTTTTCACCAAATATTTACTTACCTGCTTTTAAAATTTATCTCTTCAAAATCCCATTCATCCAATCGAGTCATTTTCAAACGGATTACCTCCTAAGTGGACTCTAATAATTATGATTTTATTGCAAATTATTGTTTGCAGACTCTAAATTCTGGGAGGACATCATGGATATGATTAAAGTAAAATATTATTTATACTTTTATAAACAATATGAACATATTTTTATAAGGAAGAGATGAATTTATAGAATCCCATAAAAAAACAAATAAATATGAAAGCAATGAAGGATTCACAGACCGTATTATCACAGTATATCTACCATGGCACATAATTAAAGCCTAATCAGGATCATTTTAAATAATTCATCTGGATAAATACAATTTTTTTAAAGTAAAAAAAACTTCGTTTACCAATATTCAAAAATACAATAAATACATTTCTCGTTAAAATCTATTCCATTACTGAGTGTAAATAATTGCTGCTACTTTCGAAATTCACTATAAATTGCCTTACACAACCGCGAACATCAAAGGATCGTCTCCTCTCGTTATGATTTCCCGGTCCAATGAGATTGCAATTAAAAAACTCATAAACGACCTAAATTTGTTATTGGATGCTCTCTGATTAATGTTTATCCCTTTGAAGGTAGAGAAACAAGATTTTATGAAGGCCCAGCAGAGCATCGTGCCAGCATCGCATCGAGTTTCAATAATTCCCATCAAGTGTCTCTCTCCAAAAGTCTATCCTCTCCTCCAAGATACTCTATTTACAATTCTCAGTGTTATCCAGGGGATTTGTCCGGCGGGAATGCTGACGTCAGAAAATCCGTAAATATCTCAATTCTCAGAGTTTGATACAGTGGAATTGAGTATTTCATGTTTATTGTCACATCAGGAGTAATGAGATTCTATCGACGAGCACGAGATGCCCGAGGCTGTTACTTCACGGAGATGATGACTGTCACACTCGTCATTTGGCACCAGCTATTCTCCACAATCTCGAGCATTTACCTTGTCACGTACTCGATGTTACTTCGTTATTCGAGGAGACCGGTCGAGCTGCTGAGGAGACTATTATCCAAGTAATCTTCATTTTCTCCTCAATCAATATAGCAAAAGAAGAAAATAATAATTATATAACGGGACGAATGATAGCTATTCCCATAGTAATAATTGATTTTTCCGGCAGAAGGTGAAAATTGCAAGGCATACTCTTCCCTCGTTGCTTTACGTACCCGATATGATGGCGTGGTGGGATCTGGTTGGTGAAGCGGCACGTGTAGTCTTCACCTCTCTCATGAAGGGACTTGATCGATCTGTTCACATGCTCTTCCTCGCCACAATCACCTGTAATACGGATAGCATACCAATCGAGGTCTGAAAGCATACACGAGCACTGTTCAATAGTCTCAATTATAATCTCCCTACTGGAGAATTCTACGGCAATATTGTCAAAGTATTTTCAACCGACATGTTTTAATCACTGTCTACATTCTAATGGTTACTATGTTACTAACATACTAACAATTACAGTGAATATTTTTTTCATTTTTATTTTAGCTATAATAATATAATATTCTCGCTCATGTAATTTTTTTCAATCATAATTATCTCGGTTATTTGTTATTTATATAGTAACTATCAGACAAAACTATTAAAAAATACCTTCTTGGTCTTACCAGGACTTCGAAAGGTGCAATTGAATTGGCTGACGTTAGGGGTTGGAAAAATATTCATTGAATAATCATGATATTCAATAGTAACTATTACGGTGTCCATAACAATCCGTACTAAAGTTTGGTAAAAATTACAGCGTGCAGACATCGATACTCGAACGATCGTATTCAATAGTATTTAGTAGTATTCAGTAGTAGTATTGATACGTGGTTACTAATCACTATTGTTTCTACGCAGATATTAGAGCTCTTTGATGTGCACCAGAGCGAAATATTCGAGGTGTCGGTACCGGGACCTGTTGAGAGACTAGCCTATTTCCAACAAATATTTACCAAAGTCCCTGGGAAATCTGATAATATATCGAGCAGATCGTCTTACGGTTGAGTCTCAATTCATTGTGGAATCCATTTGCAATGGGATTGATTGAATTTCGGTATCTCTGTTGCAGTGGATTTTGTTCAAGTCCTTGGACCGATCAAATCGAAGGTTGAGGGGAAACGAAGCAAGGAGGTGGAGATCATTGAGACACCCATCCCCAAGAGACGAAAGGAGGGGAAAATTAGGATGAAACTCAGCGCTGTCCACAGCACTAGCTCAGGAAATGGCCCTATTCCACGTAATTTTCCGGAAAAGAGTTTAATAATACGTAGGGGAAAAGTTTTTTGATTGAAAAGAATATTTTCTACTCAAGAAAGAGATCCAAAATATCTTTCTTCTAGTTTCTAGAAGAACGAAATGGATCCTCGTAATACCTGCGTTGCGAGAATCACTCCAGTGGTTATAAAAAAAATCATGATGAAAAAGGAAATATCGTTGAAGAGTGGCAAATCGAGATATTGATTCCAATAGATCCACCAAGTTCATTGAAAAATAATTAAACGTCCATTTTGATTCTATATTATTAATGACAATAAAATATATTCGTTACCCCATCATGGAGGCTAATAAACTACGTATTTTTAATTAATTTCCCGTAAACTTGGCAGATCTCTTGGAATCAATATCTCGATTTGGCCATTGATGGCGCAATCGCAGGGTCCTGATGTAACTTCAAATGAATTAGATTCTGGAATTAATTGATCTAGTAACTCTCCAGTTTTTCCCAGAAACTTTTTTTTTGGTTTTCATGAATGATTCTCGATAATTATATAGTAGATTCACACCGGCACTTTGGCTCTAATCCAAGAATTTCCCACGAATCTCACATGACCGTGTTTATACATCCTTTATTTACATTCGCGCACGTTCGTAACTGTAGAAATTGAAAGGGAACAGATACCCTAACTTCACTCCTTTTTTTCATCAATGTTTTTTATTATTGTCCAACAGTATGTACAGGTATTTACAGAAGAAAATTAAGAAACTAGTCTAAAAAAAAATTTCCAAAAAGAAGAGCTTTAAGGAACGGCCAATGGCTACGTAGAGCTCTCGGGCTGTAACATTATGTGAGGAAAAACCTCTAGTTTTTTCGAGACAGTGATTTTGTTGGGGAATAATAAACGTAAATGGAACCAAACTTCACCCCTCTTTGCGTCACCCAGGGCCAGCGACTTAAGGTGATTGTCGCGCGACAGTCTCTGTAAAAAGTTTATCCGCTGTAAAACGGGCCAGTTTAGAACACAATCTTTTAGCGGTATATAGTCTCACTTGATTGATTGCATTGCGCATGGATAGCTAAAGCATAACTATATATTTTCCATATTAACTATTTTCAATTATATAAATTTATAAATTTCCGATAATTATATTCCGTAAACCAAACGGTCAATCAATTTGATTTTCCCCACGATGTATATTTCTGAAACTGTCGAGCCGTTGATTTAAAAAAAATTCTAATCGGCAAAACTCCATTTAAACACGTGTTAAATCACTCGAATTTCAAAAATTTATATCTCAAGTTCAAAACGGTCAATTGCAAACGGAAAAAGCTCATTTTGTTGCTAATTTTTCAAACTATTCACCATAAAATTGTTAACGAAAACTGTCGAAAAAAAATTCTACGCGACAACAACCTTAAACGTGGCGGTATAACTGACCCCATGACAACATATGTTGATACACTTAGAGACAATGGTCAACACCAAGATGGGTGAGTGTTCGCTCGGGAAAAGATGTGTGATTACCAGACACAGCCTTTCCGCTCTACACCTCCAGATTTTCTCAACCATCATACAGCAATTAATAATAACAAATGAATATCAACATTGTTATGTGGGAACTGAGTTGGGAACTCAGTTGGGAACTGAGTTGGGAACTCAGTTGGGAACTGAGCGACGGCTCTATTGGTGAGATGTCACTTAATCGCCGGAAATAATTCACACCTGTAATTATTAAGAGTCGCTGTTCCATTTGAATGAGTACTCGCTTTGATAATCTTAATATTGGTCTTCTCGGGTGCTGGAGGTATTAAGCCACACTCTGGGAGTCCGCACGATATCCTGGTAATCCGCGAGACACATATTTTCCACTTCACACTAACCATCACTCACGAGAGAATTAAACCGAGTACTGAACCAAATTCCTCGTATCTAGGAACAATGGCAGGCATCAGGCTGCCCATTAACAGTGTTCATTTGGATAGTTACTGATCGTAAACACGGGTCTGACGTATAATTCCTAGTGTGAATCTACTAAATAATTACCTCATTTTCTCAAACAACTGGTGTGATAATAATGATTAACGATGCAAGATCGAAAGGTTTTTATGTGGCGTATAGAAAAATTATTTGTTAATTTTTCCTGTGATATTTTGGGACAGAATATATTTCCAAGTATTTTTTTTATCATATGAATCCACACATAGCTATGGTAATGTAACTACAGATAAATATAAAACCGGAAAGTTACTGATACGACCCTTCCAACGGGTCAAACCTACTCAAATTCACGATTACTACTTATAATTATTTTTTACAACCATTGGAGTGACTTCCGCGATACAAGTTGGAAGGCAAACTTGGAAATTTTCCAAATTTGCTATTTGAAATTCAAGCCAAAGGTTACGTTCGACAAATAGTTCATGTGGGCCTCAAGAGAAATTATTCTGGAATTGAGAAAGAGTTTCTTTAGAAACTTTGATTCTTCAATATACAGGGTGACCCATTTAAAACAGCGCACCTCCACAACTCCCAAAAAGGGCTTAAATGAAAAAATGTTTCATATAAAAGTTTCGAGGGGTTCGAAGGGAACATCTGATACGAGCTTCATTCTGAGCTTTTAAACTCATGCTTGCAAGCTGCTAGTGCTTTTTTAAATAGCACTCATATTTTTCGCACCTATGAAACTTGTTTCTCTTAACGAGATGTTTTCAGGCTCCTCGTCATTTATATCGATTTCCCTCCAAAAATACTATCAAAACAAACCTCGAGGACAATTTGGGAATTTCCGTTTTTTTTTGGCGTGAGTTAGGAACGCAAATCATTATTAAAATGTAAAAATAATTTCAGACTGTCTCTGTGTTTTTTCGGATGCATCACGTACAGGTGAATTTTGATAACAAGAAAAGCGCGGGTAGCTTGAAAAAAAACTGGAGACATGAGACATATACTAATTCCATCTTGTGTCACCTGAAAAATCTAATTTTCGCATTTTTTAAATGAAATTTGTGTTTTTTAAGACTCACGACATAAAAATAATATGCACGTCTCGCCATGAGAAACATATCACCCTCGCCTTGGGCTCGGAAGGCAATTTTGCCTGTGGTGGAAGATGATGTATTTTTCAAGACTCGAGCATAAAATATCCTATTCCATAACAAAAACGAGTGCTTGGATTTCACACACCTTTTGTAAACTTCGTGCAGCCACTAAAAACGTCGGAATGACAAAATGTCTAAATTCAAACAGAACAAGTTGTCCTAAATCTTCCACATTTGGAGTTCCCACAATTTTTACTCCCTTTGATAATTCTTCACTACCCCGAAAAAGTCTGCAAAACGTGTGTGATTTCTTATCTAAAATTGCTATCACCATAAATGATACTCTCAAAAAATCCCAGCTAAAAGATAAAAATTTCAATACAAATCACGATACCAGCGAAACTATAAAACTCAATTTATGTCACCACTTGACTGAATGCAATTTAATTAAATTTCACCAAAATAATCTTAACGACGTGCTATAAAAAAACATGAGGCACTTATCACGGGAAATGTTGCCGAAAACATCCCCTAAATGCATTCACTCCCCACCTAATCACCTAAACTCGAAAGATATTGTTCAGTGAACCCTTTCAAGTGGCCATTGAATCCCCGACCCTTGGTACTTTCATCAGGAAATGGACTGAAGCGTGTGCACAGTGCCTCGGGCGAGGGTACATCCTCAAAACGCCAGAGAGGATGTGGAAACAGCCGACGCAATTCATTTGAGACTCTCACAGAGCTACAGGTGCAGGATCTCCTAGATCGAGCAGTTGATTACACCGAAGACTGGACATGTCATCAGTTGGAGACAATTCATGCAGCCCTCGAACGAGTCCTTAATTATTCCGAGGGAGATGTCTTCCCAGCTTTCACCAAGTGTCTCGAGAATTTTCGAAAAAATCAACGAACCCGAGACGTTAATTAACTATTTCAATTCTGAACCTACCTCTCTTGTATTATAGTAAACACATGTTGAGTCTGATTGTAAATGTATTGATTTTCTCTTGATACCACGCGAAGGAAATATAATACTGGGGCTGAACTGATGGGCAATTGTAGGTGAAAGCTTTGCGGATCCTATTCTTATGCCAAATCTTTCCTTACGTCAATGCTTCTTTCGTGGGACGTTGATCAGAATTGAAAGGGGAGATTCAAAAGATGATGGTACATTCAGTGCACTCAATCTCAATTTAATCTGGAGAAGATTAAAATGAGATGATATCTCAGGATTTCTTGTTATTGAAAGAATATTCGCTGAAGTCTTTGGCACAAGTCTTTTTTTTATTTATTTATTAATTTTTATTTTCTTTCGTTTAACAATAGTTTACATTTATCCAACTTTTTTCATGGTTTATCGTTTCTTGATTCGACAATGAAAAGAATCTTCTTCAATTGAGGAAGACTCTTTTAAGGATTAAAGGATTTTCGTTTGAGATTCCGACTAGCAGAACATTTTCGCGGTGGAAATCCCGGCTTTTTCCCAGTGTGCACCCCATGGGACAGACAATATTCGAAGAGGAAACATTTTTTTTCGTGTTAGAAATGAAAAATCCTTGATGTTAACAGAAATGTTTCTGTATTTACGACAATAGAATTTTCCTTCATTTTTTTTGGTAATTTCTGCATTGTACAGAGAATAGTGTTTTGAATTCAGAAAACTTTTTTTGTAACACTTAGGAATTTCGTTGAACAGCAAACGAGTACTTTTTGTTTATTATTTAAGATAGTATTCCCGTATATCCCGTATATAAGCATCGATGGAATTTGGATGAAAATTGACATGCAAATAGACTTTTTGTTTTTCTTTCTTTAATGATTATTTTACATCGCTTCAAGTCGGAGGAGGCTATGTGGAGATTCATGGAGACTTTTTGAACGCGGCTAGGTCTCACCAGTCTACCCAGCCAGGAATCGAACCTGGAACCTATCCGCTGTGAGGCAACGACCTTCACCACTACGTCAGGCCACCGGGTATACAGTTACAGTTAGTCACTTTAATGCAAAAATGATTCAGTTAAATTTTTAGAAGGCTAAATGGGCCAGAACAATAGTTATTCGTTTTCTTATGACAGCATACCATTTTTTTTAGTTTTAAAAATTATAACGATTAGGCTTTTATGAAATTAGTTAATTAGAAATTTTCATTCATGGGTTATAAATGTTAAAATTAATTAATTAATTAAATAAAAGTGTGGAACCAATGTATGTGGCAACAACACTATACTGAAGTCAGCATAAGTTTTAACATTGATTTTAGGAGTGGGGGACATGGTTACAAGTGGTAACTACGTGGAGTGGGGGTACCCAGAGAAGTAAAAGCTTATGCTGACTTTAGTATACGCAGAATAGGTGAGCTGTCGTTACAGAAACACAACAAATAAATCGAAATACATCACAGAGGGGTGCAAGTCGTTGAGCAATGTTGTCAAATCAAACTACCGCGCTAACCAAAGTCATCAGTACTCTAGCTTGACTCATGATGTACCAGAAGTGCTGCCTTAAAAATGCCCGCCAATCTTGAAAGTTGTGAATGAGCCTTATGATTGAAGAACATAAATTTCAGAGTAGCTACATAACTTTCATAAACTATTGATGAAAAACATTCTGGAAATTCTTTATTTTTCAATTATTTAATTTATGATGTCGTCAGGAACTGAATTTTTTGATTCGTACACATTGGAAATATATTCCGTGACACTGGAAATGCGATTTATATCTCTGAAGGAGCTCAAATGGAAATCCCTGGTTGTGCCCTGGTGGTTTGGAGTGATCTAGAGATTCCCAATTTTACTTTATTGCACTTGGAAGAGGCCGAGATTCTCATATCCTCTGGGGGACAATTCTTGAGACATATTTGCTGCTCTCAATTTGCTCGTCAAAAAATTATTCATCAGGATGTATTGATCTTTTACAGAATATCTGATTGGTCATACCTTATACATTTAACTAATTGTCAAGAGTCATTTCCACTGAATTTTTAGCGAAGTTTGGAAAATTGAAAATCTAGAAATTGTAAACCTCTCTTCAATTATAAAATTATTATCAATTATCAAAATTTACAAAAATTCATCATTTCATTTTAAACTATCGTAAATTTTCAGGAAATTTGACCAATTTCCTTGAAATTCTTTACATTTTCACTAGAAATTTGACAGTTAGCATTCATAATTTAATAAAAGTTGAGGTAAACAGTGAATTTTTTTTATCTTCATGCCACTTGAAAATCGACACTTTCTTTGGGTCTTGTCAAAAAAATTGGAGTTTCACCGGGGTTTCCTCAAATCAAATAAAGGAAAATCTTTTTAACAGACAACTCAAGCTTTGCTTCTTTATTTCAAGGGAAATAAATGAATAAGTCACTTGTTGAATGGATACCAATTGTTCGATTCCAGAACGACGAATAATTGATTCTTCCCCTGAAACAAGAATTCATTTTTCCCTTTGTAGAATATTAACATGTTATTGAATTAGATATCATTTCTCCCCTGCGGGTTCCACGACTTACGTCATGGACTCTCCGCGAGGGGAATATTGAATAATGAAAGCCGCCCTTTTTCCAGAATGATCATTCCACTGTTTCTTTTATGCCCATTGCACCCTCCCCTCAATCTCTATGATCATTATCTCCAGAACATGGCCTGAAAATTATTATGCGACAAATAGCAGTGTATAAGCCGAGTCAAAAAGTATTATCCGACTTATTTGATTATAATTCTCGCCTTCGGTTTATACCCTCACATTCGTCAGATCATACTTTTTTGGATGAATACAGAAAGAAAAGTACCGGAAAAATTACGGAACTTTTACATATTCGTGGGGTGACCTTGGTTTTCGGGAAAAAATACTGTATGTTCCGTAAAAATTTTCGCAGCGAGCAGGAATTTTTACCAAAATTTTAGGACAATTTTACGGTACTTCCAGTAGTTTTTCCCGAAAAACAAGGTCACCCCACGAATACGTGAAAGTTCCGTAATTTTTCCGGTATTTTTCTCTCCGTGTAGTGAACCAAATATTTCGTGAATCTAAGACACTCTCTCACTGGACGATTCCTCCGGCGAAAATATTCCTGAAAGAAAATATATTCATACAAATTATTCATTGGTGCACAAATATGATTTACATAATTTTATAAACTAATTGTGGGAAGAAACAAGAAATTGAATACTGATAAGGATAATCAAGACCTTAGAGGGGTTTTAATTTTTTAATCGCAAAATGTTTTATATAATGATTGCTAAATTTCTATATTTATAAACAATCCTGAAAGTTTCTCCCGTGATCATTATTTGAGCTGAAATTTTTTCTGTGCGAGATTCATCAAGTGGAATTCTTCTTAAGTGAATTTCACAAGGACAATTATACCTGCCATTTCTTCCTGGAATATATTTCCAGGGACATTTTGTCCGGGGAATTTTTTCCGGGAGATTTTGTCCGGCGGAAAATGACCGACTCCATGTTTCGTTACTGGGTCCGATAACCGCGTTCAAACCGAAGTGAGTTCACCAACAATTCCACCTAAAAGCTAATAATTTCCATATAAATTACGGTTTTAACAATAGTTCATCGTACGGCTCTTATCAAAAAGTATTTTCCTTCCACTTGTAGCATAATGCACTAATTTAACTCGGACGGCGCTAGACGTCTAATCGATTTTGTCTACCGGCAGAATTCTCAACACCTCACCAACTCACCCACAAAATATCGGGAAAAGTATAAAACCGAACACTACGAAATCCACACATGAAGAATTTCAATAAAAATTCCTCTATTTTCCCCTCCATTCTTGAAAACTAAATATATTTCACTCATGCACACCGACAAACAAATAAAACAAATAACTTACCCTTTCCAATAAAGAAATCATCTACGAGTTCTCAACGCCTAACGAATTATCGGTTCTGACTACGTCAATGACCTAGATTAAATCCATAGAAAAATATATTGCAAAGGAGAAATTCAATCAGTGACTTGCTCTGTAAAATAATTGTTGCTGAAAGCAGCCTGAGGGGTTAATCAGTCCAACACGTGGGCTCTATAAACTAGTGACTGAAATATCGGATAACCTTCCTAATTCAATTACTCTGCGAATTGGATCCATCAGTCGACCTCCGAAAACTTAATTTCGCCCCTCGACGCGTCCGAATTTCACACCTCCGCTGTATACCGAGAAAATCCATTCCAAAATAGTCCAAACAACAGCCATCAAATTACAACAACATGAAATCCTCACAAATTCGTCTGCAAAAGTATTCAACACGCATTGTGTTCGTTAACTCAATCAACTAAATACAATCTGCGGTAGCAAAAAAGCCCAAGTAAAACGCGCCGCGAAAAGTGGAATGGCCAAACATCTGCAAATTGCGTTATTCATCTCAAGTCTTTCGCTCTCTCCAATCATTCTCTCCACCACCAACACCGGACTTATTGTCGAGTGGACATTTGCAGTCATACAGACTCCCTAGACACTTATCACAGTGCACTAGTTAACTCCAGAGTGTTTGCATCGTAAATTCGCGAGTTGGTAATTCGAAATCACCAGTGGCTTTCGAGAGACGTGAGTACATCCCAAAACCCCTTAAACACATTATCGAAAAAAAGCAACGTTGAATCAAAGCTTAATAAACTAAGACAATTGAACCACCATAGAAAATTAATATTTATTGATTGATAGTAACTGCCATAAATGACGATGAAATATAGCTGACATTAATCCATAAAGTACAACACTGACCACATGAACACCTAATGAAAAGCAGTTACAACTATATTCATCACCGGCTGATAAAAAAAACGTCTTAAAACTAAACATCAATATTGTGAATATTGATCTATAAAAATCCTCCAATAGTCTTATTCTCTCTGAATTACGACACTAGCGGTAGAAAACTATCCTAAACAACAAATCTTGGTCCTTTGGGATCTTGCGAGCCATGAAATAGAGTCTCTAAACTTAACCATATATCACATCTCTTTTGGTTGTTCCATTCGTAAAGATTAAAACTTAAAAGTATTCAAGTACACCGCACTAGGTTCATTCACGATCAAACAAGTAATGATCCATAGTCAACTCTTCTTTAATAGCAACCATCGAGTCACGATTGACAATGCATTCGATGGGTGTTTCATGCGCGGAGAAGCATTCGACGTTTTTCGATGCTCGCCAGAATCCCGATGACTGATCCAAAGCATCATGATGACTGACAGCCACATCTAATTGGGTGTCACCAAAGAAATCCCCCGAGAAACCTTTTGCATACTCTTTATTACCAACATTATCTTTAATAACAAATGTACAACTCTCCTCATCGTCTTCGAAACGAAGAGTGAAGTTGTTCTCTTCTTCATCATCGCTTTCCATTTTGTTGAGATTCTCGTAGAAGTTGGGGGTTTGGAGGCCAGCGTCCTCTTGGTCATGACAACTTAAGCTGTTTTCGGCAGACATCAGATCCCTGATGGCGTCGGAGATGCTGAGGCCCTTCATGGAATCACTGGGTTCTCCTTTAATGCTGATAAAGGGTGCCTGATTCTTCCTGATCTCCAGAACCTTTTCTACCTCGTCATCAGAATGGTAGCTGGACTCGGTGAGATCATAGCAGGGTGGCTTCGTTGGAATCACAGTTATGTCGTTGATGTCTTCTGTATCGTCCAAGGTGATTACTTCTTTCTTCATATTCCTGATGGAAGTGGTGGACTTGAGGAGCCATTTGGGCACTTGTGAGGATGCGACGCTGGCTGAAGAACTCTCGTGTTCAACGATACCTGCAGACGAGGTTTCAACAGAGTCTTGAGATTTGGACAAATTGAGCTTTGGACAGTTATTGTTGTTATCATCCCACGACCTGGCGTTGTTCCTCACGCAACAATGGCAGCTGGTGGCCCTGCAGAGAGGCAGATCGAATGAGACACCGAGTGATGGAGCTGAACACGGACGACTATCACTGGACTTTGATTCGTACTTTCTACGGATCTTGCTACCAGATACCTCCAATTGTGCCTCGAGGCTACTATCAAAGAAATTAGACATCTGTGGCACCTGATCTCCTTCTCTATACTCATAATGGCTGTCTGAATGGCTGTGGCGACGTTTCAGATGACTTCGTTTGATCCACTTTGTGCTGACTGTCTCGTTGTTGAGCTTGAGGGTCACCTTCAGTCGATTGTGTCGCTTCTTCATGTGATCCTGCACATCGGTCTCACATTTGAACAGTTTCTTACACACTTTGCATTGATCGCCGGCGATCAAAACCCGACAGGGTTTCATAGATAAACTAACTCTCTCATTTTGATCTTTCATCCTTGGTAAATCCACTGTACCCGTATTTATATCACAAAAACACTCAACTTTGTTGCACAATTGGCAGGTCAATCCTTGGGATTGTGTCGATTGTGTAAGTCCAATGGAGCGTAGAAAGTCGATTTTACCGGTGACAGTTGCAGCATCAATTGTTGACTCAAGACGTCTGTTCTTCGGTGCTCTCAAATGGTATCGGTTGAAGTCACCTCCTGCACACAAACGTGGCGCCATTTTGTCGTCTTCTCTCGTCCACTCGTCTAAATGAAACAAAACAAAATGGATGGTACCTCCGTTTTCCAGGCAAAAAATAGCGCTTACTGTCTAACAGATAATATTTATCTTATCGCAATACCGGATACAGCTTATCGCCTACTGATAAAAGCCACATTTCTCAGAAAACATTTTTCAAGGTTCGTGTTCCTTCCCGAGGTGTGTTAATCCACTCGATAAAAATTTCTCGAGCGAATTATTCGCGAATATATCGGAGTTCTCGCTGAATACACCGAGGCTTAACAAAAAAAAAAGAGGGGCGGGCAGAATATCTTATTTTTAAAGAACATTGCGTGCAATGTTGATGAAAAAAAAATATCGATATCTCAGAGAATCACACGCCGACGCGCTACATTTCCTGCCATGAAGACCAAAAGAAAAGTTCCAAGTAACTGCTAAAATTGCTCGTACATGACAGTAGTCAATTTTCCTCACACATTGTGTTAAAAGAAATAGTCTATTATATTTTCTCCCTTCCTTCAAACTGCCACATGCTGGCGGAGATCACAACGGCAGTTGCGTATCCGTGATATATTATTCTCAAGAGCCTTCCGGCTCGACAGACGAGTCTATAACCGTTTAAATCCACCTCATATTCTATGCAAATAAACATGTTAGGGAAGAAATAACACTCGGGAAAAAACGATAAAAATTGAAATAATACGGTAGAAACTGGCCAGCGTGACCACTCAATAATTCAATATTGGTAAATATATGCACGGCAATACCAGGAATAGGTATCAGAGTTCCAAAGAAGAGGATTGTGATGCTATAATAATAATACTCTGTATCAAATAACGAAAACAATAATGACTCATAGGTCTTTGAATGGAAGCGAGTCTGTGCCGGTCGAGTCAAAGTTGGCGCTCGTCTATTTCTCACGAGCCTTTAGTACTCTCTCACTCTCCTTTGTCCAGAGGTACTGCCCTCTCTCCCTCCATCGACCTCAGTCACTCACTCGCTCTCTCTCTCTCTTTCTCTGTGTCTCTCTCTCACTCTTTTTCTCTCGTATTTTACCGCAAGAATTTTTCAGCCCCCACAGTCACAACACAGGCACAATGTGTCCCTTATCGATGCTTGCAACATGAAAAAATAATAAAACCACCGACTGGAACTCGTTGAGTTCTTAATCACCAACAAAAGAACTGGAATTGGTATAGAAAAAAGCCCATTGGAATACCAGAACAAAGAGATGGAACAATCGTGCTAACACAACAACGAAGACAAAGCCGGTTTTATGTTAATTAAGAAACTTACAGGCTTCGTTATACGTGGAATCCTGAATCTTCGAAAATGATGGAAATAGCATCACGTCTGATATATTGCAAGTGAGCATGACATTAGTTTGATGTGTCAGGGAAAAATAATCACCTCTGTCTAGAACTTGGCTCACTATTTCAAAATAACTCTGATGAAAGGGAGCGAGTGTGGAATATAATGTGGAATGTCAGAGGCTAATGAACTCTCTGGCTGATTTGAAGTCTCGATTGAAGAACTTCACTTGCCTTTCGAGGAACTTGTGAATTTTATTGAAATGATGATGGAAATAATCGAGGTATTCCCCCTTCGATGAACACCTGAGGTGTGCGCGCACAACTTCCTTCCAGCGGCAACTGCCTGCCTCTGTTGAAGGGAAACGCCGGAATACCGAGCACAATATCCTTGGCCTCGTGGGCCACCAGGCTTCAGCTTTACAACACAATGCGCCAACCAATGACGCACTTCAGCCACCCGCATCGACCAATCAGCTGCCACGCTGACTGCTCAGGCTTTCCTCAGGGATTTTTGTATTGAGAGTAGGGGATGCTTACTCGTAGGGATACCATCAAAATTCATCCCTCCAAACCTCCAACAACTGTTTGATGCAACGCCTGTTTAATTGGATATCACCATATCCACGAGCATCATTGAGGTAATCACGATCTGATCCGGGAAATGGAAGTTATGGAAATCCCATTAACTTTGCTTTACCCAGCAGAAGGGCAATTGTAGAAATTCTTCTCTTTTAAAGTACAATTGAAACTTTGAATAGGGGTAACTTTCGCGTTAGTATTTTATAGTTTCGACGGTATTCAGGTAGTTCTTTCACAAGTTTTATAACGCCAACCATAAAAAGATTTATGAAAAATACTACGGGACTCTGAAAATTGTGCTAATCAATCTCCATATGGGTCTCCTGGTAACTGCAAAGTTGACCAATTGTCTTCCAGGGGAGCTGATGTTATTAACAAATGCTGGATCATCTGAATGACCTTCTAGGGATTATTTAATAACGCTCTCAGCGATAGGAGACATACTGAACTGTTATTGGTGGGTGCATTGAAAGGCCTGTAACTGAAACTATCATTACAGTTTGGTGATGTAACGATCGATAGCTCCTCCATATGTCGAAACTTTAACCCCTGTAAACTACGAATCACGGAGGGTGGATACATGAAATTATTGTTGTAAAATTCTTTCGGCTATTGCTGAAAACGAAACATGATTTTTTTTTTAAGTTTCTCTATTTTATAGATCGATGAGAGTATTGCGACAAACGGTCAACGTCGTGCGCGAAATTTCTCCTGGATGTGAGGGAAAATTGTGAAAGGGAATAATGATATTCAATTGTTATAATCCAAGGGCGGTTGAGTATTTTCAACCCTCCCTGGCCTCCGCGTAATTGTTGTGTTGAGGGTATTATTTTCTTCACTCCTGCCGACACTGAATTCTTGATTGGTCTTACTGACTTTTGCGATAGAAGTGTTCTGCACGAGTAATATTGGAATAACCCGTCGATATATTATTCATTTTCACTTCCAGGTGTTCCCTCTTCCCTCTGAATCTTAAATCATCACGTGATTCATGCAGATGTCATTCGTATTAATAGAGTATGATGTCATTGCAAAGTCTGTAAGTATTTTTTTTTATCTCCTCAATTGATGTGCTGAATATTTTTTCTTTTTAATTATCGAGGTAAAGGGCTTATAGGAACTGTTTTGCATATGAATGAGGCCTTTGTTTGAGATTATTTCCTGGAATTTCCAACTCATGCAACGAGTGGGTTAAATTTTTTTTCTGATTCTGTGATGCCAGCGGGTCCTGTGGCGCAACGGATAACGCGTCTGACTACGGATCAGAAGATTCCAGGTTCGAATCCTGGCAGGATCGAATAATTTTTTTTCATTTTTGCTTGATTTTTCGATAGACAATGACGAGATAAATGGATATTTCCGTGTAAAAATCTGATTTTGAAAATTTTCCAGTCGCTACAATAAGTGAACTGTACGTAGAGTGCCACCACCAGACGTTATGTAATAGGTCACACATCCGAGCCCTCGACTCAAGTGGGCCTCTTGAAAAAAAAGTATTTGCTTCGCTCAGGCAAAAAACATTCATTCAAACAGGAAAGTGGTGATGATCATGTAGAAAATAAGTTTTATACAGTTTCACGCAGATCAAAATATATTTTGAGTACCAGTGGCCGATAGGCAACGCTATTAAGGGGTTACATGAGTTTCGCAGTTTGAAAAAATTGATTTTTTCTTTGCTCTTTCTTTTCTATAAAATGTCGAGAATATTGTCCGAATAATTCCAAATCGATCAGAGCAAACGTTTTGGAGATAGAGCGTTGAAAAATTCCTCTCCCAAGGCCAGGTGTATTGTCGCTCAAAACTTTAAGGTTGTCGTATCGTTAAATTTTTATTCGACAGTTTTCGTTCAAAACTTTATAGTGAATACTTCAAAAAAGCTAGCTACAGAATGAGCTCTTTCTATTTGCGAATAATCTTTTTGAACTTGAGATATAAATTTTTGAAATTCGAGTGATTTAACACGTGTTTAGATGGAGTTTCACCGATTAGAATTTTGGCAATATCAATGGCTCCACAGTTTTCGAAATAAAAAAAAAAAGAATATATATATCGTGGGAGGAAATACAGAAAAAAATGAAATCGATTGACCATTTGGTGTACGCGATATAATTATCGAAAATCCATAAATTTATATAATTGAAAATAGTTAATATGGAAAATATATAGTTATGCTTTAGCTGTCCACGTACAATGCAATCAATCAAGTGCGACTATATACCGTGAAAGAAATATGTTCTAAACTGGCCCGGTTTACAGCGGACAAACTTTTTGCAGAGACTATCGCGCTACAACAGCCTTAAGGATATTCTGCGTGTATAGTCAAAACAAAAGTTTATGACCCTTTCTATAATTCGTTTTATTTATCGCAATTAATTTTCAATTAATATTTCAATGTGTTCATTAGTTAAAGTAATAGCCATAGACAATTATTATATTATATTTGATTTTATGAATAAATATTGTTTAAACAAATTAATGAAAAAAAAGAATTGTAGTCAATGGTCATGACATTTTTCTGTCAATTTATATCTGCTTTAATAGTAAATTTTCAAAATTCCAACAAAATTTTATATTTTGAACTATATTTACGGAATCTTATTTTCCATATAAAAGATCGTCTTAATTGGAAACTCAATAATTAATAACCACAAAACGGTGTTGTGAATCAATTTTTAATATTATACAGGCACCTGTTGTCGCTCCAAAAACATTATGGCGAAATTTCAAGCAATTCTTATATCTTCGCCAATACATGCAAAACACCCTTCAACGCGTTTTTCTCGAAACGGTGTTTTTAAAGTTAGTTGGTGTGCTTTTTCGAAAACCGCTGAACCGATCTTGCAGAAATTTTGTACACGTCTTCGAGATACTATTATCCACTTTTTGAAAAAAAGGATTTCTTGTTAATGGCAACCATTTTAAAAAATACAACATGTAGCAGAAATTCCATCGGAATTGCTAATTTTTCATAAAAAGGTCTGCCAAGAATTCAATTACTTTATTTTTCCCTTATTCAAAAACTAGTTCAAGGCGTTGCCTGGAAGCCGCAATTTTTGATTGTTCTATGCAATTTCGAATGATCCTATCATGAGTTCTGCTATCAACCCGAGGCCACCTTTTTTCGAACGGGTCCCTAATAATGACGTCTCAACGGCTAAATTTTCCTTGCTTAAATATGTATCTTTAACATAACAGAAAGTTTGAATTCAATATTGCATTCTTCATATGATAACAAAATGTTAAAAATATGCTGTTTTTTCGCCCAGGAAACCCATGTAACCTCTCAAACAAAGCTAGTAAAATTTGCCAGAAATATCTCGATATTTTTCTTTTTTGAAACTTTATATCTCAAAAACCGCCCGCGAAGGGTATAAATCCAGAAAGTCGAGATATATTCGTATTTTGTAACGCAATATCTAGTTGACAGCCGAGGTGGTTATGTAATATATCTATATACCCAATTGGGCAATATTAACGGAGTTCGGCAAATAAGACGCAAAATTGTGACTCATGACACGTGAATGGATAATAAAAACCCATGCCCACATATCGTGATATGTATCGTTGCAATTTTGTACTGTTTGAAGTTTTAGGATAAAAGAAGCAATGTGTCAGCTTTTGTTGTAGGTTCCCTTAAACAAATGGGCTTATCTCTTATGATGATGATGAGTATGATAATAATAATAATAATTTTGATAATTTTATGACGCTCTACATTAGGTGCATTCACTGATGAAAACAATTACTTTCGCTAAATATATTTACTTGCCACCAGTAAATCTGGTAATCATTCTATAAATACTCCCTTAAGATATATTAAGGCCAAATATATTTTCCTGTGGATATTAAATATACTTGAGAAAATAATTCTTTTTCCAATAGTTCGCGATAGATTGGTTTCATGCTGAGTTCCAAAATAATTTTCAAACTTTACGCGTTTTGTCTTTCACTTTTGTTGTGGAGTATTGGAGTTTTTCTCTTCTTATTGGCTTCATAATATGTCTAGAGACGCGTAAAAATGTTTAATGGAATCGGTTGGAGAAATATTAGAAGCTATTGGATTCCGAAGGAATGCGAGGCAATATAAAGATCGCCCATAGAGAAGACGATGCCCGAATAAATATATCTAAAATATTAAACATTCCAGATATATTTACTTCGTGCAGGTTTTGTAACTGTCACCAAATATTTCTTTATTAAATTACAACTGTAAATGAAGAATTTCCGGAATTCCCAACTGTGTATATCCTCTCCTCCCATACGATGAAATGCAAAATGGATCAATAAAATTTATTGAGCTTGAAATGTACGTGAAGTGGTGGATTCATGAGATTCTTCGCTTACAATTGTATGCTTACGAGGCATACTCGGTGAATATTACAATTCGTTTGGTTTTCAATCCCCTCAAGGTTCGTTTGCTGCGATCACGAGCTATATTTACTCATCTCACTGTACCATGTTTATTATCATCAAAATAATATTGGACCCGAGTAATATCCATGTTTGCTTGTTAGCTGCAATACTGAAATCGGATGTGATGCTGCATATGACGTCAGCAGAATGCAAATACTGACAACATATTCATGATCGCGTCCGACGCTTCTTTCAATAATACTCGCCATCATTTTCATTTCGAGAAAAAAACTGAATAAACTTACAGTTCCTGTGGGAAGAGGGTGGAGACACTTTTGTCAATATACCGCAATAATTCCCAACTGTTACAAATTTTATCTATGTATTGTTATTGTGTTTGTTATAAAATACAGTTTGACAATTCTCTACACAGAGAAGAACTTCCTCGACGTCAGAAAATCTATCTTTCAAATTATTTATTCAGACTGAATCAATATTTTTTTATGAAATTCTGAATGTTTTTCTCTGTGTATACAATTATTAATGATTGTTTACTGTTGCAGGCACCACTTGAAATATTATGTGCTCCTAACAATCAACTTTGCTGTATTCGCAGAACAATCGGTTCCACGTGAGTTGCAAAAAAAGACACCCCAATTACAACACAACAATATGCATGCTATCTTCAACTTTAGATTGCACTCGAAACTTACAACAACTATTAGCCCCGAGCATTCCCAACGCTGAACTAAATTTTGAAGTGGAAAATTCCCGTGAATTCATGAGTGCGCTTGACGTATTTAACAGCTCTTGGCGATGTTGAAAAATTGCGCTCTACTTTACACATTCCATAAACTGGATAAGATTATTCATTGTACGTTTATAGTTCAGTAATTGTTGTTTTACGACGGGGGGGAAAAACATCTAGATATCCCATTTAGCTGATAATATCGTCAAGGTAAAAAAACATGTGGAGAAAATGATGAAAGAAAAATTCCCTCAGAGGAGATAAAATCTGAGTATTACGGCGTACCATGTGTGGGTTACAAGCCGGGAGAGGATGATCTCCAGACGTTGTTCGATGTCATCAGCCGTTACAGATTGGATTTCACTGAGAAACAATATCCGGGCGTGAGTCGTGTCAGGGGTACCACTCGCATGCAAACGGCATATCGCATTGACAGGGATGCCAATCTTACCCTCTCCACAAGGTAGTCCTTGAAAAATAACTAATGATTGGTCGAATCAACCTAATGAATCATCACGTTGATATTTTTCATGAGTCAGCTACGAATCATTATTGCAGACAGGTATTTCCCATTGGATTGCCCGAGGAATTCAGCTTCACGACTATATTCAGAACTTGGAGAACACCACGTGTAGCATGGCGAATTTTCCAAATATCAAATAGTCAGGGTATTCCGGAATTTTCCATCGAGCTCAATCCCAACGGACGTACACTCGATTTGACGATTGGGAATCACGACAAGTATCCGCAGACGTTCCAGTTTGATAATCCAAATGTAAGATATTGGATCGATCATGCGGATTTGTCATTTTTTTATGCTTCTATTTTCTATTTTATTCTTTATGCCACGAGTTTTCTTTTCATCTTTCCAAAGGATTTCAATGTAAAAATTGTTTGACTTACAATTACGTTCGACAAGTCGTCTTCTTGTTGCGAATTCATTGCTCATGATTTTTCAGAGAAGTACCAAATCTCTTGACTAAGGTTTTTTCTTCCAGTACTTCGTACTTCACATAAAACTTTTTTTCATTCCAGCTATTTGAAAACAAGCAATGGCACAAGGTTCAGGTGTCTGTCTTCCGCGAGAAAGCTAATGTCTATGTAGACTGTGTCCTCTTAGGCTCCACGAAATTGCAAAATTGGTGGCCAATAGACGTCGGCGGACAAATATCGATATCCCGAACAATGGAGTATCCGCAGACAGTGCCGGTAAGTCCCCCGGGATATTCAGCAATCTCCCAGTGACATACTCCACATGTTAATTAAGCGCCTAGATTATTTTATCATGATGACATACGTGACCGGCATAAAGTAAATATTATTCTCAATCAATGTGTGCATCTGGGCTGCCCAGATGACCCAAATGATCAGCAGCCGGAATGTCTCGATTCAAAGAGTTCTCCGAAGTCGTCGGCTCCTTTCATGTTTCTTTTGCAAGAATTATTTCCAACTTGTGCATTTTCTTTCAGATCGATCTCCAGTGGATGATCGTCGACTGCGACCCGACGAAACCGGAACGAGAACGATGTGATGAGCTTCCGGTAAGTCTTCCTTTTCCCCAGAATGTCTTCGGCTCTGCTAATAATTTTCCCTCAGTTGATAGTTTATGAACAAAAAAAAACGACATGTGACACTGTCTGCCCGCAAGGACCTCCTGGCGCCAACGGGACGCAAGTGAGTATCCGCCCCCTTCAGTTTTTTTGTACAAAGGCTATTCCATTGGTCTGATATAGCACCTAAAGAAATGCTGATTTGAGTTAATGTCAGCGTGAATCTCCCTGATTATCGACTTGATTCACGTCGATTTATCAATTCATGTATGATTTTCCACTTGATCTGAGTGAATTTTCCATGAATATCATGCTTTTACACAATCGTGATCCAAAATCGTTCGTGATTGAAGAAATTCTTTGATCAATTAAGGTAGTACTCGCGAATATGAAAGCAACGATAAGATTTTTATGAAAATTCACATGCAGATAAACTTTAATGCAAAAATGACTCAGTTGAATTTTTTGAAGTCTGAATGGGCCAGAACAATAGTTATTAATCTATTTATTTTTCGACGATTAACATTGAGTCTTATGGCAGTTCACGATTTTTTTTAGTTTTAAAAATTCCATTGGGTTTTTCATGAAAGTTTTTAAGGTATATGTACAGATGTTAAAGAACATTTTGCGCGTCGAAAAATTGTCAGTCATGGGCTATAAATGTTGAAATTAATTAATTAAGTGTGAAACCTATAGATGTGGCAACAACGCTACGCAGGTTAGGTGAGCTGTCGTTACAGAAACACAACGTACACATCAAAACACATCAAACAGGCGTGCAAGCTATTGACTACAGTTGTCAAACCAAGTTACCGCGTTAATCAAAGTCATCAGTACTCTAGCTTGACTCATGATGTACCGGGGGTACTACCTTAAGCTGCAGAGCCGACTTAAGGATGTTTTGCTGGTATTTTGTTATTTTTCCTGTTTTTCTGAGATTTATTGAAAACTATCGATCGGATTGGGATATGAAAATATAGCGTTTGTCCGTTCCATCATGATTTCACTCTTTCATAAAGTTTCATCCCGATACACTAATTTTTGTAACTTTTCACTGAAATTTAATAAAAAATCAATAAATTTTAGTGAAAAGTTATAAAAATTAGTTGTTGTTTACTCCAAATCTCAGTTATTTCTAAAGGATAAACCATCTTATTATTCGGGTAGTTCCCCAACAATTTAGAATAATTACTTTATTCCTCACGTAGTTCCCCAACAAAATACAGCATAAGAAAGATTCATTCATCAGGGGACTCACCCCAATAATCATTAAACACTTCGATAAATGAAACCTTGGGCCTTTCCCCAATGAACTTCAATTCCCCCATTGACGTCACAAACCTAGCCGTTCTAAAACCCTTGATGCCCAAAATATGGACATATTCGCCATTTTTCCTTTCTTTCCCCTTCCACTCACCAATCCGCCCTTAGATACATTTAAATAAGGGAACTTCGATATTTTAAGACAGAATTAGTTTAGCAAAGATAACGAGAAGACCAGAACCTCTGTACAATCCAGACGGAATTGCTCGAATCAGAGTACCTCAAGACTCACTAGTTGTTAATTATATATATATATCTTCGTAAATAAAAGTATTAGTTAATTTTAAAGTTACTTCAGTGTACTTTTTATTCTACGAAATCCAACATAGTCTATCGGAAAAATATGAAAAATAACAAAATATCCGCAGAACATCCTTAAATCGAACGAAAAATAATCAAGTCGTCGATTTAGAAAACAATTGATTCCCGACACCATTCAATCTGACTTGATCCAAGTGATAGTTTTGCAAGCTGAAGTCGACGATTCATCAGCTTGATGGATCTGAGTGTTTTGTCATTAGTGAAGTATTCACCTCCCAGGACGTAAAAGAAAGCTTTAAGGGCCGGGTGGACTATCTATCGAGCGTCATCTTTGATTTAAGGGCCGGGTGGACTATCTATCGAGCGTCATCTTTTATTTAAATTTTATCTTTTTAACCTAAAATACATAAAAATTTGGGATAAGTTTTGAGGTCACGAAAATCACTGGAGTTGGCATAAAAAAATAATGAAAAAAAAGAGGAAAAAATTTTGAAGGGCGCTAAAGAGCGATA